CTTGTGTTTTCAGATAGGGATGAGGTGCGATTTCGTGCGATTGGGGATGTTCGGGAGAACAAAAATCAATTTTTATTTTGTGGAGTTGTAGCAATTCTGAAAGAAGTCTTTTTAAACTATGTTTCGTTGTCTGTGATAAATTTGGATGGAATGCCATGGCGTGAAAATAATGATGAGGTTATCACAAATTTTGGTACGGGAATATGCTTGTGCGTATTTAGAAAAACTATCTATTATCTTTATTATAGAAATTTAACTTTATCAAGATTGTATGTATCCAGGTAAATAGTGTCAAATGGTTTTGTTGCCGTAGGCGTGATGTTCAATCCCATATTTATTGAATAGCGTTCATATTTGCATCGTTGGCATATCTCACATTCATCGATATATGATTTAATTGATTCTTCAAGTTTTGGCCGGTAATATTTGTCTTTAATTCGCCGTTCAGTTTTTTCGATTCCTCGAGGATTAGTTTTGCTCTCATGTTAATTTTTCTTCACTTCTGATATTGCATTTTCATTAACTACACCAATTAATTTTATGAAGCAACTTTTAAATTCAATTGAAGCTTATTTGAAGTTTTTTCTATTTCACAAAAAGGTTCGTGTGGATTTTCAAAGTAAATGGAATATAGTTTTCCAGGAACAACCTTTTCTTTGATGAATAATTGTATAATGGCATTTTCAAAATTATTTTCAGATGGTTGTACTAGAAATCTTCGTTTCCTTTCAAATAATATTAATAGTTTTCTGGAGGTGAATGTGATTTACGCCGTAATTAACAGCTGATTCTATAATGGGGACCCCTACTATAGGAACAAGATGCTGTTTGTGTTGGTTGTCTTCATTGCGTATTGGGTTTTGGTTATTTGTTGATAAAGTATCTTCGGTCTCCAATTCTCTATTAAATGCTTCGATATTATAAAACTAGATTTGAAATATCGGTGATTTATTTTGCGTGTAAATCGATGCATCCTAATGCGTCACCATTAGTATTGAGTTGGCTTTTCTTGTACATTATTTGGCAGTCGAAGTACGGTAATTTTATTCGCTAGCGTACTAGTTTTAAACTGAAATCTGTTAAATTGAAAGGTCATTGTGAAAGTTATGATGTTAAACATTTGTCCATACAGATACGGCTAAAGTACTTCGTTGCCCCCATTGGGCCTAAACATTTCTTTTCAATGGTGGAGTAATTTTGTTCGGAATCATTCACTGTAGGTGGTGTATATGCGATTGGCGAATCTTGACCTATGAGTCCTTGCGAGAGTACATATCCTAGTGCTACATCACTAGCGTCACAGTTCAATTCGAAGTTATTTTTATTAAACCATCCAATATTATAATATCCGTGTAATATTGGCTAATTTAGTGAAAGTTCTTTGGATTTCCCAACGCACTAAATTTTGTCTACTTTTTTTTAAACATTAAACTATTGGTTTTGTCAATTTTGCGAAGTTATTGATAGGTCGGTGAGGGATAACTTAGTTATCCGAGAAATCCTTAGATTTGTTTGGTTGTTTTGAATATAGGATAATTTTGGATTGCTCCAACTTTATCGGGTATGGGTCTCACTCCTTCAGATGTTACTCTGTGTCTTCAGTGGGCTACTTGTGTCTGAGAAATTTGCTTTTTTTTAATTGGATCTTGAAATTATTGTCTCTCATTCTTTAAGATACGGTTTTAAGTGCTATGTATATGCTAAATGATGATGTGATCAAAGTAGACAAGGCATTTTTCGTATTGAATACCCCGTATAAAATGCCTCTTTGAAAGATTGCAGGGGCGTTTGTGAACCCAAATGGCATTCGTGAAAATTCAAAATGACCGTTTTCTATATAAAATGCAGTTTCCGCAATATCTTTTCTGTTCATTTGGTGAAATATACTAGCCAAATCTAAAGTTGTGAAATATTGGCAGATTCCTTATTTGTCTAGCAGATCCGTAGTTTTGATAGAGGGTATCGGTTCGAAAAGGTTTTGGCATTGAACCTCTAAAATCAATAACGATTCGCCATTTCTGTTGGCCAGAGGCATCTATTTTTTTGGGACTACCGTGCTGTTCAAAGAGAATTGCTTGAGCGTGTTATGTTTTTGTCTAGAATTTGTTTGATTTGCGTTTCGACTTCTTTTTATTGTTCACGAATGGATATATGTTTTCGTATATACAGGTTGTTCCTCTGTTGTTTTAATCGAATGTTTCATGTCACCCATTAAAGTTCCCTGATTTGAATATTCTGAACATAACTCGATTATTTTGCCTCTTTCTTCTGAGTTAAGGTGATCTGTACGAATTTGAGAAAAGTCAAAATTATCCATATTATGTTTTGAGTCTTCGAAGGTATTTAAATCTATTTCTTGCACTTTCATTTCTTCTCTATTTATTGGATCCACATTAAATGGTTGTGAAAGATCTAGTGTTGATACGGGTTGGTATGTACCATTTAAAATAGTTACAGCGTAACCATTTTTGGCGATGCTTAAAGAGTTTGAAATTCCACAATATGCAGTTTCTGGTATGGAATTCAAACTTCTGCATCATCTATAATGGTTTTAATTTTCGGTTATTGGGTCACATAGGTCACTGTGCACGATTTCTCCTATTTCTGTAGCACGTTTTTCATTCTGTTGAAATGTTGGCCTCGTAGATTTTCCTTCTATACAAGTAGGACAAATCTTTTTGGGAACTTCTAATCCAATTTGCCTCCAAGCTTCTTTTCCAGAGCATGTCCTAACCTTTAATGCCATGTTTCAGCATCTACAATAACTTGACATCTTTGATTTATCATATTGTCAACATAAAGTATATACAGTTCACCTTTATTATGACATTTAAGAGAGAAATTAGGTCCACAAATTTTTGTTGTTACTATTATCTTGTGTCCTTTTTCAGTAATTTTTGAAGCTGAAATGAGATTATGTTTCAAATTTGGAACAATGAGGGCTTCCATGACAATACTCTGACCCTGACATTTAGCACCTAATTTTCCCAGCCTGTTTGACTTTATAATTTGACCATTTGCTATGTGAATAGACATGTAATTGTTCATGACATTAGTAGCAAGGTTCCAGATTTTCTTTCACAAAGTGATTACTAGCTCCTGAGTGCAATATAAATAAAGCTAATAGAGCCAATATTCAGGTACATCTGTGTCACAGAAATAGGCTGCGAAAAGAACAACTTGTTGATCAGCTGTATTTACTTGTTTTCTGTTTTGTCCTTCATTAGATATAAAACCACTCCACGATGTCTAGAATAACTTCCTCTTAAATATCCTCTATTTTGATTTCCGGAGATTGCCCCTAAATTATTCCGAGATCCACTATTTCCATCATTTCTTTTAAAACAGTTTGCTTGGAAATGGAATTTGCTAGGTACCACAAACAGAACATGCTTTAGTAAAAGCTTCAAAACTAACTTCGTTATTGTCTCCATGTGCAATGGCAAGTCTAGATCCTAGCTTAAGCTTTTCATCAAGCAGCCTGGCCCTAACAAAATCCATTTTCACATAACTAACGGTTTCTAAGGCAGTTATTACTGTATCAAATTTACATAACAGCGGTAACAGTAAGTGACACTCAAGAAATTCGAGTAGGTATTCAGTTTTAAATTGAGCTATATTTATTGTATGACATGAATTTAAATTTAAATCATTTTGATTTGTGGCTTCTATAGCTGTACTTGCTGATAATGAATTGAGTTTTTCTATAAATTCTTCTGTATCAGAAGATAAGTCAGTTGAAGGTAGGTTGAAAGATAATAACTTTCTTGTTATTTCATCAACATCAGAGATTAGGATAAATCATAAAATGCACATAGCACTTACATAAGTATTATTCCGTAAATCGTCAAGAATTATAAGGCCTAGACTTTCTGATAGGCGATGTATATTCTGCCAAAGCGATCCTGGTCTCCCCGAGGATGGGCTATACTGGTCCAATAATCCAATTACTTGAAGGCGGTTCCAAGGTTTTCAATTGTTGTAAAACCACTCCGACACCTCACAGCAATTACTCAACACAACACTTAGCCAGAGTGTAGATTCTAGTTTTTTTCCGATTAGTATAATTTCCATGAAATTCGTTTAATCATTCCCGAAGAAATCCGAACGACTGCTTCAGTTGTCCAACCGTGTGCCGATAACAAATTTTCAAAAAACAACTTTATTTCTAAGGTACAAAAGTGTTAATTCTCGAAATGCGTTATAATAGTATAAGGTATAAAAATAAGAATGGGTAGTACCTTATTACGAACGTCAAACTGATTGAAGAGCGACCTCAAACGGCGTGGTTTACCAACCTATATAAAAGAACAAGAACTTCTGAGTTGTGGGGCCAGAAGTCGCTAATTTAATCAGCAAAGAACACACACACACATATATTGATGCTGTCTCTTCAAATCCCTTATCATAATACTCTTCAGCGAGAGCATGCGTAAGAATGGTGACGATGAATCCTGCGCATCGTGGAAATGGAGAGAGGGAAATATAATTGTCGTTATCATATCAACGGTTCGCTTACTTGTTTATACTTTTAACAACAGTGGTATTAATCAATTTTGCCCAAATATTCTATAGATATGTTTCAACTTGGATTTTTCTCAAGCATTATTATATAGCTTGTTAAGTTGTCTCTATGAAGATTACGTTAATTGGTTTTTTCATACCAGTCACGATTTACTGGAGAAAAATATTGATATGGTTTCATGGGGTCAACCAACAGGACACGCATTCCTAAGTTATTTGTTACTTCTTCTGTTATTTCATTAAATACTAAAATAATAAATTACATATTTTTTCTATTCTAAAATCTTGACTATTTTTTAGTATCAAAAGAAAACATATGATTGTCATTAAGACTAACAAGAGTATAATTTTCAAATCAAACGGTTTACATTATACCTTAGTGAAGCTAGCGAGAAATGTCATTGCCTCTACTAATTGTCGAAATGAAAAAAAAAAAAAAAAATCATGAACTAATGAGAAATTATTAATCGTTACAGTTGAGGGAACTAGACAAACGCCACTGGAAGCCAAACTTATTAAGGATGGCAAAATACTTCCTGTTAAGGAAGTGGACTTTATTATTGCCGATGATAAGGTGACATTTAAAATTAAGAAGCCAACCAGAGCTCAATCTGGTCCCTATGAAATCAAGCTATCAAATGGACAAGGTGAAGATGTTCAAAACGTTAAAATTACAATGCAAGATGTTCCTACTCCTCCTCAAGACGTTGACGTTACGGATATTTTTCAAACTAACTGTAAAGTTGCATGGAAAGCACCAGAAGATGATGGTGGTAGTCCAATTCAAAAATATGTCATTGAACGACAAGATTTGAGTCTTAAAGGTTGGTACTTATGGACTATTTTTAATAAATGGTTTAATTTGTCTATAATTCCATTTTCTAGCCGGATGGGATAACGTTGGGGAAGCTAAACCCAACCAGACGAGCTTCAAAGTTGAAGGACTCACCCCTAAGAAACAATACAAATTTAGAATAAGAGCTGTTAATAAATTAGGATCTAGTGAACCTGCCATGTTCGCAAAACCTGTACTGGCAAAAGACCCATGGGGTAAGTTTTATTGGGTGGTAGGATCCCTAGAATAAGTTAGAATATCATTACTTACATCTAATTTAATGCTAAACCATATGAGTACAACATATTTTGCCAATGTCCTTGAAATAAATTCTTATTATGTATACCATAATTTTTTTTAATGCATATTTGTTCCTTTTAGATGAACCGAGCAAACCTAATGGTGTTGAGGTGGTTGATTGGGATAAAGATCACGCTGATCTTACATGGAAAGCTCCAGATAATGACGGAGGAGCTCCCATTACTGCATACATCGTTGAATTTAAAGACAAATTCGGAAAAGACTGGGCTAAGGGTATTGAAGTTGAGGGAGATCAATTTTCAGCTACCGTACCCGGATTAAAAGAAAACAGTCAATATGAATTTAGAGTAAGGGCTGTTAATAAAGCTGGTCCTGGTGAACCAAGCGACCCCACCAAACCTATTATAGCCAAATGCAGATTTGTCAAGCCGTTTATCATTGGTGACGACCTTAAAAGCATCATTATTAAAAAAGGTCAAATTATTAAATATGATATCAAATACGGTGGAGAACCTGAACCAACAGTTCAGTGGTTTTTAGAGGCAAAAGAAATTAAACCAGATCCAGAAGAGCGTATTACAATTGATGCATATGAAAAAAATACGATTATTACAGTCAAGAGAGCTACTCGTGCCGATAGCGGAAAGTACCGATTAGTACTTACTAACAGTTCTGGTACAGTAGAAGGCAAAGCGGATGTTATTGTACTGGACAAGCCAACTCCACCTAAAGGTCCATTAGAACCTGAAGAAATTCGCGCTGAGCATATAACAGTTAAATGGCAGCGCCCGGAAGATGCCGGAGGTACCGAACTTACTGGATACGTACTTGAGAAAATGGACATGGATACCGGACGATGGGTTTCAGCCGGAGAAGTTGGCCCAGGAGACAGCAAGTTTACTTTTAAAGGTCTTACGCCTAAAAAGAAATACAAATTCCGAGTGAGAGCCAAAAATAAAGAAGGAGAATCAGAACCTTTAGAGACAACAGATTTTATTCTGGCTAAAAATCCATACGATGAACCTGGGGCGCCAGGCAAACCAGAAATTATTGATTATGACAACAAAAGTGTTACTTTGAAATGGCCTAAGCCAGAAAATGACGGTGGAAGACCAATCACACACTACACCATTGAAATGAAAGACAAATTTTCACCTGATTGGAGAGAAGTAGCTAAAACACCTGACAGTAACCCAGAAGGAAAGGTAGAAAGTCTAAAAGAGAATCAGGTTTATCAATTTAGAGTTCGAGCACATAACAAATCTGGACCCAGTGTTCCATCTGAACCAACAGATAACCATCTCTGCAAGCATAAAAACTGTAAGATTTTTTTGTTTGAATTAACCAAAACTAACCTAATTCGTGAAATCAGATATTTTACTAATGAGTCGTTAATATATATCTAAAAAAAAAAGAGCCTGTTTTTAATAAAACATTCAAAATTTACACACAAATGACCCAAGTTTTAATTTTTTTTATTAAAATATAGGCAGCTTATGAATATTTCTGCCTTAAATTACTTCGCATTTTTCTATTTGAACGTTGTTATAAAATTTAATATAATTTTTTTATTCTTTCCAGCATTTTTTCCCCTATTATATTGTTTATACATAGGTATATATTTTTAATGAATCGTTTTAATATGTATATATTTTTTGAATTGTGACGTTTCCAACAAACTTACAGATATGTGTATGATGACTCTTAGGTTCTATGTTCCCCATAGTTTTTATGGGACAAACAATTGATCGTTTAATTTTATTTCACAGTGAAGCCACGGATCGATAGAGAAACATTTAAATCAATTACGATTAAAGCTGGTCGTACACACAAATGGGCCGTTGACTTCATGGGTGAACCCCCACCGGAAGTCAAGTGGGTTTGGAGAGACAACATTCCACTTACTAATACTGAACGCATAAAAATTGAAAACCAGGATTATCACACCGACTTTACTTTACTTAATGCCGTAAGAAAAGACACGGGAAAATATACCCTTATAATTGAAAACATTAATGGTAAAGATCAAGAGACTGTAGAATTGACAGTACTCAGTAAGCCAGGATCACCAAAAGGCCCTCTTGTCATTAGCGACGTTACCGCTGAAAAGGCAAAGGTTGGCTTTAAAAAACCGGAAGATGACGGCGGCAGTCCTATTAAAGAATATGAAATTGAAAAAATGGACATGGCTACAGGAAAATGGGTACGATGTGGCAGAGTGCCAGCAGATAAACTGACACCAGACGGAAAAGGCGAATTTGAAGTAACAGGCCTAAATCCGGGTTCTCAATATAAATTTAGAGTCACTGCAGTTAATAATGAGGGCGATTCAGAACCACTTATTTCAGACGTACCAACATTAGCGAAAAATCCGTTCGGTAAGTACGCATTGCAGCACTATTATTATGAATAATTCTTGAATTGAAAATATACAAAAAGTTTTATAAATTCAGGAAAAATATATACAATACTCGCTACGATGAAGCTTTTTAGACTTAGAGTCCAAAGAAGCTACATCATAGCGAAAATAATTTTTTTTGGTCAGCCAATAGAGTAATGTCCTTAAATAAAAATTCAACGATCTACGAAAAAACTATTTAAAATAATCTTGTAATTTTTTTTTATTGACATTAGCTCTATGATTGGTCTATCAGACAGACAGACAGACAGACAGACATGCACACACACAGACAGACAATCATTTTTAATTATATTTGAAAGTTTCTGTTTTAGAGACCAGTGAATTTTGAATTTGGGACATTACCTACTTTTTTGGCTGACTGTACATATTATATAATGAGCTTTAATAGGTTGAAATAAATGCACTAAAAACGTGAGTATCTATGTACTTCTCAGGTAAATGCTCGCACACGTCAATTTTCAGTTGCACAGTTTGTAAACAAATTTTCACTATACAGGGGGGTGGAACATCAAGATATCACGTAACTTTTAACTTTTTTGAATTGACGGCCCCATTTTTTATTTTGATTTTGGATTCAACGTGAAAATCTGAAAATGTATTTATATTTCCATGTAAGTTACACCGCATATAATAAGAAAAATTAAATTCAAAATTAGTAAAAAATCCCTACCTATTTGTGAACCTCCAATACAAATTATTAACATAGGTGAAGTTTATATTAATTTCATAATTTGAGTTAGCTTTATTGCGTAGAAATGAAATGATATACAATGTATTATAAAATACCATTAAATTTTTATGTGAAATCAAAAAGTGGGGGTTTCAATTCAAAAAAGTTGAAGGTCGCGTGATATCTCTTTGCTGGGACATCCTGTATACGCGAAAATTAGCTAAGAAACTGTGCGACTGAATATAAAAATTGACGTGTGCAAGTGTTTACTCAATTTTTTTATGTATTTCTTCCAACCTTATCGAGCTCGCTCTGTGAGTGAAAGTGTTATAAAAAGTATTATGTATACTTAAATTCAACTTGTTATTAAGTTTTCACCAAGTAGGTATTCGCCTAATCAATTAATAAGTTTTACACGAAATGCTAATCCCCTAAACACCCATTAAATCAACCGAAATGTCAGGTTAGAAGAACTATTTCAAGCTGAGGTCTTTCAGTTTCAGAATAAGTGTCATTTATCCATATTTCCAGGAACAAATAGAATTTTCATTTATTTATATTTCGGAGAAAAAAAACAATAAAATTGCTGCTTCCTCCACAGATGAGCCTGGTAAACCAGGTGTGCCAGAAATTGTTGATTACGACAACAAAGGCGTCGAACTCAAATGGACAGCTCCAACCAGCGATGGCGGATCTCCTATTGAAAAATACATTATAGAAAAAAAAGATCGTTACAAGCCAGATTGGGAAAAAGCCATTGAAGTCCCAGGAGATCAACTACAAGCTCGAGTGGAAGATCTTAAGGAAAGAGGAGAATACCAGTTCCGTGTTAAAGCTGTTAATAAAGCTGGTCCTGGTCCACCATCAGATGCTTCTCAGATGCAAATAATCAAGCATAGAGCACGTAAGTGTCCTTTATATTAGATTTTTTTTAAAATTCTCTGAAGCATCATTTTTATAAAAATGGTAAATAAAAAATTGAAGAAATAGCTTTGTTCTGGTTACCATCAGAGCCTATTATAGAACCTGTTTAAAGTATTTTTATTTGTTTTATCTACTTTATCTCCCTGGTCAAAAAATTCTGAAATTTTATTGGATTTGATATGGGGTTGGGTTGTAAAAAGTTCGCGCATATTTTTCCGTAGAGCACTAAGTCACAAGCAGATTGTAGAATCATTATCATTCGTTTGTGTACCATGGTGTACCACCGAATGATAATAATTCCTAACAGCTTTCGGAAAAGTTGCAACCTACATATCTTTTTGTTGTATTAGTTTGCGTTATTGTACAGCGAATTAGCTAGGCTATTGTGCACTTTTTGATAAAAGCACCAAATTTGGCACAGAGGTAGACCGATGGTTATATGAACAAATTTGGATGTGGAGCCATTGGCCAACTGCCCGGGCGGCCATTTTCCAAAATGGCGGCCACTGGACACCCATAAATACAACAAAAGTTAGATAAAGTTTGCTGCTGAAGGTCTCAGTGAATGTTTTGGACATCCTAACTCGATGGATTTGAATGAAAACATGCCAGATAGTTTGTAATTTATATATACAGGGTGTTCCAAAAAGGTTGTGCCAAATTTACGGAGTTGTAGGGGACAAAGTCATGAATTTTTTTTCATAGACAGTTAGGGCTCCATCAGGGTAATTTTTGGTCAAAATACGAATTTTATTTTTAAAAGGTATAGGTTTTAGAAAGTGGTTGAATAAAAAAAATTACATCGAAGATTAAAGAAAAAGATGATGTTGATGTAGTTGACAATTTATTTTACAGCTAATCGCAGCCGGTCAACTGCTTTACATTCGCTTTTTTTGTGACAAAGTTTTGCGTTTAAACTGTGAAAATGGTCGAATTTACGATTGAAGAGTATGCAGGCATTCATCTTATTTATTGCGAAGCAAGATGTAACACTAGAGAATCTTTGTGGCTCTATGCTGAGCGATTGCCAAATCGCCGACAACCGCCTCGAAACTCATTTGCGACAGTCCATTGCCGATTACGAGCAAAAGGCAATTTTAAACCAGGTTCAGGAATCGGACGTCCACGTACAGCTGCGGGGGACGAGCATCGAACACCAGCACGCGTGCAGGTTATCCGGTTAGCGAATCAAATAAATGCTGCCCACGAAACTGTGTGGCGAGTATTCACGAGCAGCTTCTCCACGGTTACCACCTTTACAAAGTGGCAGCACTAGGTTCTCAAGATTACCAACCGCAGGTGAAACTATATTTTTGCCAATACTATTTGCAACGCATCGCAAACCAACCGGATTTTGGTTCGATCATCCTGTTCACCGATGAGGCTTGCTTCACTAAGGACGGGTGCTTTAATAGTCGCACCAGCCACATATGGGACGATCACAATCCTTTCGCCGCATGGACGAGAGCTCATCAAAACCAATTTGCCATCAACATATGGGCAGGTATTATTAGCGTCTCTTCAATTGGTTCGTACCTGCTCCCACCTTGGCTAAATGGTAACATCTACTCACATTTTCTGCGACGAGTACTTCCCGAGCTATTGGACAATGCACATGTTACTATGGCTATACGAGATAGAATGTGGTTCCAACATGACGGTGCACCTGCACATTTCGCCCGTAATATGCAGGATCATCTAAGCCAACAATTTCGTGGGAGATGGATCGGAAGAGGAGGACCTATCAGGTGGCCGGCGCGAATTCTTGATTTAGCCCCGTTTTTCCTCTGGGGTTACATGAAGTCGTTGGTGTTGCTACCTAAGACGAATTGTTAGGAAGAGTGATGGCAGCCTCTTTTTTCGTACAGTAAGTTCCGGACATCTTCCAGCTGCTAAGCAATTCAATGATTCGAAGGACAAATTTATGTAACGAAGCTGGGGACGTCATTTTGTTACTTTATTATAATTTTTTTTCATCATCAATAATTAGGCTCTCCAAACCACGTGATTTTTCAATATGGCGACCGTGGAAAATTTGACGTTTGTGTGTTTATCTTGAGTTTATTTGGAATATTTTCAAGCTAATTACAGTTTACTTTGTTATAATATACTTTTTGAGATGCAGAGTGAATATTTAAAGACTTGAATGCAGGAAAATCGGGATCTGGGCGAACGGTTAGTTTAAAAAAATGTCCAGATGACATTTTGATCCACAGTTCATATTAATGAGCAAATGAAGGCCTACAAAAGCTTAGATTCTTACGAATATTTCGAAAATGGCTTTATTTCAGATGCAGGAACAGTGGTAGTGAAAAATGTTCACGTTTTAATTGGAAAATTTTAAAACAAAGGGCAATAAAAAAAGCCTGACATCATCCTTGTTACCTTGTTGAAACTACTTCCACAATCAACTTCAAGACCCGTTTGTGGCATTTTTAATTGGAAGAAACACTAATGAAGTCAATAAAATAAAAAAATAAACAGAGTTCATTCACAAAACAACCACAAAATGCACTTTGAAAAGCTTTAAATTACATACTCTCATATACGGGATAATGAACTTCTGCCACAACGCACTTTTTGACAGGTCGTTGGAATGCCTTATTAAACATTAACGTATTTAGGATCAAGAAAATAGCAACAGGTTTCTGAACAAACAAAACGGCTCATTTCTGACAAGGGGTCTCTATCTATGCAAAAAAATTTCACGTCAATGTCCCCTATGAAATGTCTTTCGGGGTGTCCAGTGGCGATCATTTTGTTCATATAACGTGACATCGCTCTGCCTCTGTGCCAAATTTGGTGATTTTCTCAAAAAGTGCAGAATAGGTTAGCTAATCCACTGTACTATAACGCAAAAAATATATGTAGGTTGCAACTTTTCCAAAAGCTGTTTAGGAATTATTATCATTCGGCGGTACACCATGGTCCACAACCGAATAAATATGATTCTACTTTTGACTTAGTGCTCTACGGAAAAATATGCGCGAACTTTTGACAACCCCATATCAAATCCAATAAAATTTCAGAATTTTTTGACCAGACAGATAAAGTAGATAAAATAAATAAAAATACTTTAAACAGGTTCTATGGGCTCTGATGGTACCCAGCACAAAGCTGCTGTTATGTTCCTAAAAGTCTGAAAGATTACATTTTTCTTAGATTGTGTGACATTGATGATTGATTTTTCTATCGCTCTATAGATCTGCAGATGATTCTAATACACTCCGTAATTTGCCTACTATAATGTGAAAATATTTAATATTTTTTCCAGTCAAACCCAGAATCGACCGGACAAATCTTAAACCTATCATAGTTCGTGCTGGAAAACCAATCAAATATGACATCGATGTCAGAGGCGAACCTGCACCAACATGCACGTGGTTCCAGGGTGACACAGAACTCGCATCCGAAGGAAACGTTGAAATCATTAACGTTGATTATAATACCAAGATAAATATCACCAACTCGGTGCGTAAAAACACTGGTCTCTATAAAATCAAGGCTGTTAACGAACATGGCCAAGATGAAGCTGAAGTAGAGGTTACTGTTCTTTGTAAGTAATTTTTGCTTGGATCTACCTAATAATAAAATTAAAATTTCTATTTAAATTATCATTTCGCAGCATCACCAGGAAAACCAAAGGGTCCGCTCGAAGTAACTGATGTCACTAAGGGCGGATGTAAACTTAAATGGAAGAAACCCGAAGATGATGGCGGTCGACCAGTCACTGGCTATGTGGTCGAAAAGCTTGATAAGGCAACTGGGAGATGGGTTCCAGTTGGCAGAACAGGACCAAATGACACTGAAATGGATGTCAAGGGCCTTACTGAAGGCCACGATTATGATTTTAGAGTTAAAGCCGTAAATGATGAAGGTGAATCAGAACCTCTTGAAAGCGAAGGTACCATTAAAGCTAAAAACCCATATGACATTCCTGGTAAGCCTGGCACGCCAGAAATTGTCGACTGGGATGCTGATAGGGTTGATCTTAAATGGACTGCTCCTAAAAGTAGTGGTGGTGCACCAATCACAGGATATGTTATCGAAAAAAAAGAGAAGTTTTCTACATCATGGGATGAAATTCTTAGCACTGATGTAAGTAATTGGTAAAATTATAAACCTAATAATTTATACTTATATAATAAATCATTTCAGTCTCCCTCATGTGATGCTCGAGTACCTGGTCTAAAGGAAGGTAATACTTACCAATTCCGCGTAAGAGCTGTTAATAAAGCTGGACCTGGAGAACCATCTGATCCAACTGGTCAACATGTTGCTAAAGCCAGGCACTGTAAGTAGCTATGCAAAGTAACGCGAGGCCTTGTATCATCCAGTCATTATTAGTCTATCTATTGTGGTCCATAAAACACCGCATCTAACCTAAAACCTGAAAAAAACATTTAAATAATCAGCACAAAAAACTCTCAATCTAGAAAACAATACAAAACTAATCCTTTAAAAATTCTAAAAAACTATAGATGTATGGCAACAAGCACTTAAACTTCATAAAATTGTTGCATAGTAATATATAAGCTTTCAATGTGATTTATTTTTAAAATTGGGTTTCCATCTCGTTTACAATTTGTTTGTCAAATAATAGACATGTTAACTTTCCACATAAAAGCACGGATTTTTTTTTAGTGCGTCCCTGGATTAACAGAGAAAAATTGCATACTGTCAAGGTTCGTGCAGGTCAACTGGTGAAGTTTGACGTAGACGTGAAAGGTGAACCTCCACCGACATGCTCCTGGAGCTTTGCTCATAAACCACTGGAAAATGGGCCAAATGTTAAAATCGATAACGAAGACTACAACACTAAGTTAGTCCTTTCAGACACGAAACGGAAAGATACTGGTACATACACCATCCGTGCCGAAAACGATTCAGGATTTGATGAAGCGCCAGTTGAGGTTATTATTCTGGATAAGCCTGGAAAACCAGAAGGGCCGTTGGAAGTGAGTGATGTGCATAAGGAGGGATGCAAACTCAAATGGGATAAACCCAAAGATGATGGTGGCCTACCAATAACAGGCTACGTATTGGAAAAACAAGATACTCAAACTGGCAGATGGGTTCCAGCTGGATTTGTAGATCCAGATAAAACCGAACATGAAATAACTGGTTTGGAACCAAACAAGAAATATAACTTCAGAGTGAAAGCTGTTAATGAAGAAGGCGAATCTGAACCATTAGAAACGGATGCTTCAATTCTCGCTAAAAATCCCTATGATATTTCTGCACCTCCTGGTTTGCCTGAAATAGTAGACTGGGATGAACGTTCAGTTAAGCTTAAGTGGGAAAAACCAGTAAGAGATGGTGGTGCACCAATTACTGGATATGTTATTGAAGCCATGGACAAATTCACTGGACAGTTCATGAAGGTTGCTGAAGTAGGACCTCAGTGTCAAGGTACTGTAGGAAAATTAGAAGAAGGCAATCAATATAAATTTCGAGTTCGTGCTATCAATAAAGCTGGACTATCAGAGCCTTCTGAACAAACCAACTGGCATACTGCAAAAGCCAGATTCTGTAAGTAATAATAAAACAATATTGTTATTTCATTACTTAGATTTTCATCTTTTAGTAAAACCACTTATTGACCGTACAAATCTGAAGCCATTATCGGTAAAAGCTGGACTTTCGATAAGCCTAGATGTCAACATTCAAGGTGAACCTCCTCCGACAGTTACATGGCTCCTCGATGGCCAAGAAATCACGTCTTCCGAAGAACTGAGAATCGATAATATTGATTACAACACCAAATTTTTCGTACTTCGATCTAAAAGATCACAATCTGGCAAATATACTATTATTGCTAAGAACGAAGTAGGCGAAGACCAAGCTGACATTGAAATTTCCATTCTTGGAAAACCAGGCACACCAAAAGGACCCCTTGATGTAACTGATGTTACCAAGCATGGCTGCAAGCTCAAATGGAAAAAACCTGAAGATGACGGCGGTACTCCAATTGACCATTATGAAATTGAGAAACTTGATCCACTAACTGGACAGTGGATACCTTGTGGAAGGAGTAACGAACCAGAAGCAAACATTACTGGATTACAAGAGGGCAAGCCTTATAAATTTAGAGTTAAGGCTGTGAACAAAGAAGGGGAATCTGAACCCCTTGAGACTGAAAAATCTATTATTGCCAAGAATCCTTTCGGTGAGTTTGAATGTAATTTAAAATTGTGATTCAAGGTGGTAAAATTATGCATTATTTATTCATTTATTCATTAAAGTGAAGCGGAAAGCGGTCGAGACCGATGAGTTCATTCACAGTATACTGTCCGAAATTTGGTCAAATTGATTATTAATTATAATAGGAAATACCTACAGAACAGATTCCAAACAAAGATGGGAATAAATATCAAAACATAGATATAGGTACCTACCTATCCTTATGTTTTTTCATGTTCCACTTTTTATGTTAAATTATTTTTTCGGTGACATAGTGGTTACATACATCACCCACATGTGATAAATGAATGTTGATTTTTTGATAGTTGTTTCCACATATGAAAAAATTATAGTCAGTGTGGCTACATTGTGACAATAATAAATATTGTTCTTATCAATTAAAGCACATATTATTTATTCATGTATTTATATCTATTTTTAGACGAACCTAGTAAACCCGGACGCCCTGATCTTAAAGATTGGGACAAAGATTTTGTTGAACTCGCATGGAAAGCACCAGTTAGTGATGGTGGCGCTCCTATACAAAAATACGTTATTCAAATGCACGATAAATCCGGTCGAGGTTGGGTTGATGCTGCAACTGTTCCCGGAGATAAAACTGCAGGACGCGTTGAGGCTGTAGAAGAAGGCCATGAGTATGAATTCAGGATAGTAGCTGTGAATAAAGCAGGACCCAGTGAGCCCAGCGATCCATCCAAGCCTGTTATTGCCAAACCCCGTTTCTGTGAGTTTTTTTTTTTCAATAAAAACGTACGCTAATTATTGAAAATATATTTTTTTAGTGGCTCCTAAGATTGATCGTAAAAATCTCACCAAAAAAGTACTTCGCCCTGGGCAGCTTCTTCGTCTTGAAGCTGATGTCAAGGGTGAACCTGCACCAACTGTTACCTGGACACTTAAGGAACAAACTCTTAGAAATACCGATAGACTTAAAATCGAGAACGAGGAATATCACACGAGCTTTGTGCTTCAAAAAGTGCAGCGTAGTGACACAGGCTTATACACAGTTACTGCCAGAAATGAATCAGGTGTTGATACCGTTGAAGTAGAAATCGCTGTAGTTACTAAACCTGCTAAACCTAAAGGACCTCTTAAGGTATCTGATGTTAGTGCAGAAGGTTGTAAGCTTAAATGGGAAGCCCCAGAAGATGATGGCGGCGAACCAGTTACTGGTTATGTGGTTGAGCGTATGGATGTAGAAACTGGTAGATGGGTTCCAGTTACAACTACAAAAACACCAGAAGCTGATGTTTCTGGTCTTAATGAAGGAAAAGACTATCAATTTAGAGTGAAAGCTATCAATTCCGAAGGGGAATCGGAACCATTAGTTACGGATGAACCAACCACAGCTAAGAATCCCTACACTGAACCTGATTCTCCCGGCAAGCCGGAGCTTAAAGATTGGTGTAAAGATCATGCTGATCTTAAATGGACTCCACCGAAAAATGATGGAGGAGCTCCAGTTGAAAAATATATTATTGAAAAGAAAGATCCCATTACCGGAAAATGGCACAAGGCAGTTGAAGTTCCTGGAAACAAAACTGAGGCCAGAATTCCAGATTTGCAAGAAGGTCAGAAATATTCTTTCCGTGTTAAAGCTGTAAATAAAGGCGGAGAAAGTAAGCCTTCACAACCATCCGACACAATTACTGCCAAAGACAGATTCGTTCCACCAAAGATTGACCGCAGCACGCTTAAAGATCTTATTGTTAAGGCAGGCCAGCATATTCGACTGGACGTAAAAGTGTCCGGTGAACCCCCACCGGCCAAGACTTGGTTCCTTAATAAAGCCCGTATTGAAAATCGAGATGATATTATTGTGGATATTGAAGATTATAGAACCAAACTTGTAATTGCGGTTGCCAAGAGGGAACACACCGGCACCTTAGTTTTAAAAGCAGAAAATAGCTGTGGCAAAGATGAAGCTAGTATTGAAATTAAAGTTCTTGACAAACCAGGAAAACCAGAAGGACCACTTCGGATTAGTGACGTCCATAAAGAAGGGTGCTCACTGAAATGGAATCCGCCTCTAGATGATGGAGGTGTACCAGTTGAATATTACCAAGTAGAAAAACTTGATACAGCTTCTGGCAGATGGGTACCAGCAGGTCGAGCCAAAGAACCAAAGATTGAACTAAATAATTTGGAACCTGGACAAGAGTACAAATTCAGAGTTTCAGCAGTTAATGCTGAAGGTGAATCAGAACCTCTTGTAGCAGAACAAACCATTATCGCTAAGAATCCATTTGATGAACCTGGTGCTCCTGGAACTCCAGAGGTGACTGATTGGGATAAAGACCATGTGGACTTGAGATGGACTCCACCAGCTAATGATGGTGGATCTCCAATCACCGGATATATCATCGAGAAGAGGGAAAAGGGTTCACCAAAATGGACTAAGGCCGGAGAAACTGGTCCATATGAAACAAAGGGAACTGCTGAAAACTTAGACGAGGGTGTCGAATATGAATTCAGGGTAAGAGCTATCAATGCTGCTGGACCTGGAGAACCAAGTCAGGCATCTAAATCTGTGATAACTAAACCCAGAAAGTGTAAGTTGAGCATACTTTTAATTGGCTCAAAATGTCAACACCTATTTATACCCTAGATATATCTCTAATCAATGTCAATTATATTTTTTTAGTGGCACCCAAAATTGATCGTCGAAACCTCCGTAATTTGACTATAAAAGAGGGAGAACCAATATACCTTGATGTGAAAGTTAGTGGTGAACCAGCCCCCGATGTCACATGGTACCAAGACGGTCGTACTATCACCGACACTGCTCATAAGCGCGTCGACAATGTACCTTATAACTCCAAATTCTTCAACGACAGACCCGAACGTAAGGACACTGGAGTTTACAAAATTGTCGCCGTTAATAAGTACGGGCAAGATCAAGTTGAAATTGACATCACCGTCGTTTGTAAGTATTTTTAACTGAAATTTATTCAAATAAATTAATACAAACATTTTTAGCTAAACCAGGACAACCTGAAGGTCCAATAGAGGTATCCGATATTCACAAAGATGGATGTACCCTCAAATGGAAAAGACCAAAAGATGATGGAGGTGAACCTATTGAAAACTATTTAGTGGAAAAAATGGATCCTGCAACGGGGATTTGGTTGCCGGTTGGTAAAACCTCTGGTGCCATTCCTGAAATGCAAGTTGACGGCCTTGTGCCTGGACACGAATATAAGTTTAGAGTTAAAGCTTTGAACAAAGAAGGAGAATCTGAACCTCTAGAAACTGTAGGAACAATAACCGCCAAAGATCCTTACAGTATGTATTTATTCAATTTCTTGATTAATTTTAAAATAATATTTGAAAATCCTTCTAGCTACTGCCACAAAGCCAGGCACACCGGAACCAGAAGACTGGTCAGCTAATCACGTGGATCTTAAATGGACTGAACCTGCCTCAGATGGCGGCTCTCCAATTGTTGGATATGTAATTGAAATGAAAGATAAATACAGCCCTCTTTGGGAAAAAGCTCTTGAAACTACTAGCCCTACTCCAAAAGCAACTGTAACTGGATTGATTGAAGGAAACGAGTACCAATTTAGAGTTATTCCTATAAATGCTGCTGGACCAGGTCCAGCTTCAGATCCAAGCAAGACATTCACTGCCAAACCCAGATTTTGTAAGTTAATACGGTAATATTTCTCACATTAATGATAAAAAAAAAATTTCAGTGGCTCCTAAAATTGATAGACGCTACTTGCATGATGTCACAATTTCTGCTGGATCTCCACTTAAATTTGAAGCTAATATTATAGGTGAACCTGCTCCTAGCGTCGAGTGGCGTTACAACGGTATAACTCTGAAAAACGACAAAAGAACCATCATCGATAATCCTGATTATAGTACCAAACTGGCCATTCGCCCAGTTGGCCGTGATGATACTGGCCAATATACTGTTACAGCAACTAACAGTTCTGGAAAAGATATGCATACCATTAACGTTACTGTCACGGACAAACCTGCACCCCCACAAGGACCGCTTCAAGTATCTGATGTCAATAAGAATGGATGCAAGCTTAAATGGAAACGTCCAAAAGATGATGGAGGTACTCCTATTGAGTACTATCAAGTAGACAAGATGGACACAGAAACGGGATGTTGGGTACCTTGTGGAAGAGCAACTGAACCTAGTAAGTTTTTTTTTACATGTATATATATATAAAGTTATTAATTTCTTGGGGTATCAGCCTATTTCTTCGGGACTAGTTCAATAAAAAACTCTTTTCTGCTACGCCAAGCTTTCGAAAATGTTTATTTTCTTTCTCAAGGCTACAATTTGAAAATAAGATGTTAGATAATAATAGGCAATACTGAATTAAGGGAATATTTACCCTATGTGCAAAGTGAGTCAATCACATAATGGACTTTTGACTACCTTTGCCAACATTGGAGACATCCTTCCACTTATTGGTCACAATAAATATATGTTAAGTTGTTCAAACAAACACAACATTAATTAGAATTATAAAATATTAGAGAGATTACATTCTTAATTCTACTTTATTTCGGGACGTTTCTTCCCTTTCACGTGCGAAACAAAATGGAGAGCACCTAAGACAAAAATTCAAAAAACCTATTTCCTGTTACCATGAGGAATGTCATATTCGGCTATGCCACCTGTCGGAATAACATTGAAAGGTTACTGTTGTACCTATTGTTGCTAAATTATTATAGCTTTTCATTGATAGATGGCGTATCGATTGTTGTTAATAAAGTGTTGAAATTTGCTCGAAGATGGAGTGGAGCACTCCATCTTCGAGCAAAGTAGAATAGTCCATTATGTGATTGACTCACTTTGCACACAGGGTAAATATTCCCTTAATTCAGTATTGCCTATTATTATCTAACATCTTATTTTCAAATTGTAGCCTTGAGAAAGAAAATAAACATTTTCGAAAGCTTGGCGTAGCAGAAAAGAGTTTTTTATTGAACTAGTCCCGAAGAAATAGGCTGATACCCCAAGAAATTAATAACTTTGTTTCGTTAACTAGTCAGCCAAGACTACCCTCTAACTATATATATATATATATATATATATATATATATATATATATATATATATATATATATATATATATATATATATATATATATATATATATATATATATATATATATATATATATATGCAAGTAAGTTATAGTTAAAAATTTATATGTCCTAGTCATAGTTTTGATTATTCATAATAATAAGATCTTTTATATTGTTGTAGCCCTGACGAAGGCAATAAATAATTGCCGAAAGCTCGGCTTAGTGGAAAAAGAGATTTTTATTTCCTAGCCCTTCAAGACGACCGATACCCCAAGAAACTCCCATTGTTTATAAATTCTCCGGTCAAGATACTCTGTAAATATATATATATATATATATATATATATATATATATATATATATATATATATATATATATATATATATATATATATATATATATATATATATTCTTTTTTTGCTCACAAATAACAAAGTATATACTACCTAAGTAACCTAAGCGGTACCATGAGCGGAAAAAATTAGGTGACGATTAACCCTACACTAACTAACCTCAAAAAAAAAATTGTTCAGGAAATTAATTAGGAGGTCGAGGCAAGAAGTTCTAGAGGTGGGCAGTACGCCACCAAAAAGAAGCCGCATATTTAGAGGTCCTCGGAATAGCCAACTTCACAACATACGGATGGGATGCCTGTGAGGTTCTTGCGGTTCTTGAATAACTTTCCCTAGCTGGAATGAGGCTGGCCAGATCGTCAGAACATCTCCCATGGTAATAGCGATAGAATAGCGGCAAGTCGGCAACCTTGCGTCTCTCTTCGAGAGATTGCAATGAGTCGGTGAGAGTGGGATTATCGATCATTTTTACTGCTTTTCTTTGTACTGCATCTAATAGAGCCAACGAATGCTTGGGAGCATCGCTCCAGATGTAGGAACAGTATTCCATACATGGTCTGATTTGATCCTTCTAAAGAAGAAGAAGTTGTTCAGAAGTTTTTTGCACGAAACAGAAAACCTAATTTTTAAGAAGCGATTTTGGCGATCGAGATACGTGGCTATGCCAAAACAAGCTGGTCGATGCGGTCTATCATCGGCGGAAGATTTCTTATTTGAGAATACTGTTGCTTCTGTTTTGGAAGCATTGAATTTGACTAGGTTGTTAAGGCCCCAGTTGGTTATGGTGTCAAGATCACTGTTGATAGAGTGAATCTGTTCTGGGGCGTGGCGTGGAAGTGGCTGCAGTAAGCGGTTTATCAGAAGTGAAAGATACTATCAAGCTACTATCGTCCGCAAAGCTGTATATGGGGATTCTTGCCACATTTAACAAATTTATAAAAATGAGAAACAGTGTTACGGACAGAATCGAGTCTTGGGAAACGCTGGCATTTATAGGCAGTGTATCGGAAGACAAACCATCGACCACAAAATGCAGTGACCTGCGGATCAAAAGTCTTGGAGATGTCCAATGCTACAATTCTGGATTCGCCATGTTTTTCGAGAGTCGAGTTCCAAATATGACTGACGTACGCCAGAAGATCATCTGTTGATGTTACGAACGAAAGAACGAACGAAACCGATACTTTTTGTCAGAGATGATCTTATTTGATTCTAGGTATTCATGTAGCTGCCATGTTTATAAAAGCTCAAAGTGAAAATCCAAATTTAATAATAAACCACAAGTTTCTTGTACCCGGTCATACACATATGAGGTTCGTTCCAACCCAGCCAAAAACCGTACAATGTACGGTCACAGTCATGCGCCATAGGTTAAACGCGTTCCAACCGAGAGATGATCGTTTACTGTACAGTTTCGTTGGCGTTCCAACCAAACCTGGGATCGTTCGAGAACTGGTTTTAGCATCGTCATTTCGATCCCGAGTGGAAAGCAAGAACCGCGTGGACTGATTCATGACTGACATGCGTAATTCAATTTTTGTTACCTGTTTTTGTTGTTGTTGTTAAACAACCAATTTCCAATCTAACTTATAAAACTGTAGCATTTTTATTTTTTCAAGTGAAAAAAAGTACAAAATTTATTATCAGCTATTTGCTAATCCTTGATGTTATCAGCTTGCAAGGATTCAGTTTTAGATTCTTGATAATGAATCAGCGTTGGTGTTCGATTTTCCTTTTTTATGTATTATTTTGTAATCCTAATCCTATATTCTTTTATTTTAATTTGCAAACAAACAAATTTAGGGTTAAAGTTATTTGAAATCGTCATTACGAAAACGATCATGAAACCGTTCCAACTACCCGTTGTTTCTGTACCAAGATAAAACCGTGCAAGGTCAACGCATGCGCCTGCAATCGATCCTAACAGTTCCGAAACCGTTTCATGACGATACGAAAACGGGGGGTTGGAACGAACCTATGGAATGTGATATAGATCCCTCCATGATAGAAAAACAAAAAAAGAAAATGGAAATTCCAGTTTACCATCCACATGATTGGTATCAGTTGGTCAGGAAAACGGGCAGAAAGAAGCAATTTAAGGTTCACGAAATGCAACAGGAAGAATTTTTTGATTTTGCTGCCTTATTGAAATCAGGATTGGTTTGTAGGAAAAAGGACGTATCAGGAGATACATTTTCGTGGTATTCTGTTCAATGGCTCCAACATAAAGAGAATGGTCTAGTTCATTACAACACTTCTTCAAGTAACACTGAAGATTTCAAAGTTCTTAGCTTCTTAAGACGAGGAAGAAAACATGTCTTAATGGATTTTCCAGTTCGTACAAAATATGATAGTTTCATTCCAATATCTACTGAGAAGAAACGTGACTTGTGCTCGTTGCTATGCCTAATACCATCAGTCTTTTACGAGTTCTATAGAAATCTGCCAACTTTTACGAATGATAATGATCCCGATTTGATAGAAGAAGAAGTAGATGAAGAGGATTAATGGCCGTTTCCACCAACTATTTTAGGAAAGCCTTAACGATGAGTATTCCCTAAACTGACATTTCTCCATGGAAAACTGTCAGTTTGGGGATTACTTATCGTTAAGGCTTCCCTAAAATAGTTGGTAGTTCCAGGTTGACTGCCTTTTCCATCACTTTCGAATGTATGGATATAAGTAGGATGGAACGATAATTGCTAGAAAGAGTTTTCTTGCCCTTTTTCGGGATGGGCTGCACTCGATCACATTTCCAGATAGACGGAAAAATGCCTCGACTGTAGGAGAGTGAAAACAGTATGCGAAGAACTGTAGCGAAAGTTTTGAGGGCAATTAGAATGCCGTCGGGACTACAAGATTTCCTAGTATCAAGTTGCAGAAGAATTTTCCTAATAGTTTTAGGTCTAAATACAACGTTGTCCATGTAAGAATCAATGTGTCACAGTACCTGTGGCGCTTTGCCATTGTCCTCCATCGGGGAATTGGATGCAAATTGTATGTCAAGGAGATCTGCTTTTTCCTTTGACGATACTACAATGAAATTATTGTCCTTAACTAAAGGTGGAAAGGAAGAAGATGTTAATTTTTTTCCTATGGTCTTGGCAAAATGACCAAAAGGATGTTGATCCACTCGGGCAGTCAAAAAGTCGATCACGCACTTGTTGGTTGTGTAACTCCTTAGCCTTGTTGGTTATACGGTTGCAATCATTTCGTAAACACTGCTTGTTAAACCAGAGTTTTCTGGCTCGGGATGTTTTATTGGAGTGTAGAATGAACAACTCCATGCCTAAGGAAATTATTGCGGTAACCTCTTGTGCAGTTTCGGAGGAATCTTTGGATTTCAAAGCAAACATCGGACCACTGAAAGGTTGAGAAAGGAGTTTTAGGCGTTCCCAGGAGAATTTGGAGCAGGGGCTGAGAGTATAACAAACGAACTTTGAGCGGAAATCAATTTGTGGTCTGATTTGCCCACACATCGATCTTGTAATGATCGGAATTAGCGGAACAAATCGAGTAAATAGGCCTGTAGAGAAACAGAATCGGGAATATGTGTGAGCTTTTCTACCAACTGGATTAGGCCGTGTGAAATGGCAAACGCTTCAGCAATCCTTCCAGCATGGGTTGTTTTGTTCAAGAACCTAAGCCACTATGAGTTAAAATCTCCCAAGAATATAATCTTGTTTCAGAGTTCGGATGAGTCCCCTGGATAGATTTGCCTTATTTTCAAATAAAAGTTCATAACTGAAGTCGTTGGGTGAAAGATACACGCAGCAAACAAACTTGACCATGTTCGTAGAAGTCATTTTTAGCCAAATTACATCGTGATCAGGTGATTCGAGATCGTTTTGTCTGTGGCAAAGCGCACTGCGAGAAAAGACGCAAAGTCTCCTCTTAAACCGAAATCGCGTATGAAGTTCATAGCCGGGACATAGGAGATGGATTGGGTAAACAGCAGATTTGACTTGCGTCTCCGTTAAAACCAGCATATGTGGATTTTTGTGCTCAAGATGTTAGTACACTGAGTTTAAGTTCGCGTTAATACCTCTGATGCTAGAGAATTCCATTATTAACTTTGATAAAGATTCTCCTCGCACACAGTCAGTGGGAATGAAAAATTAAAAAGAAGAATAAAAATAAAGCAGAGAAAGGGATAGAGTGTTGAAAATCGAGAGTCACGCTTCAGGTTGAGACAATTCAAATCGAATTTACAGGACCAGAATGGAAGCGAGGGGTGCTACCACCCCCGTAGAAGAAAAGCTCTTCTCCTATCCCAAGTGATGAAAGTTGATAGGGAAGATGGTCCGGGGTGACCGTATAGGAAAGGTAGGAGAAGAAGAGTTTCTCAAGACTAGATAAAGGAAAGAGCTGTAGCGGACTAGGGGGGGGGGGGGGGGGGGGCGGTCCGCCCCGGGAGACACTTTTTGGGGGGCGGCAAAAATTCTGAGAGAAAGTGTGAAAAACCCTCCAAGACAGAATACAAGGCAAAAAAAATCGATAATTAAATGAATATGTATTATATTCATCAGAGATGGCCAGGCTTCTTAATATGTAAACATTTTTTGATTTTTTTACTCAGGTTTAAAATATTTTTTGTATTTTCACTTTTACTTGACGTTGAGAATTTATCTCCTTGTTTTTCACATATAAATTATGTTGAAGCACATTTTATTTGTTGATTCTTATTTATTATTTACCTAGGTCAAAGAGTTTTTGTTTCTTTCAATTCTTAAAATATTACGATTTAATGTTTCAACATATATTTTTCCATATACAGGTTGTCCAAGATAAGGATGTCTATAATGGGGATCTCGTAAGCGGTAACAGATACGGAAATTGTTTAAAGGGAAAAGAGTTGCGCTATTTGATGAATAACAATATGCATGCAAGAAATTTTAAAAATTCTGACAACTTTCGAAGATATTCGCAAAATGTCCCGAATTTCTGAAAATTTCGTGGTTTTTAGCTTCCTAGATAGGAAGCTATGGTGATAGCCCGATTTTGACCATGTCAAAATTTCATTAAATCTTGACGTTTTGGATCATTTTAAGCCTTTTTGGCAAGCTGGCACTTTTCCGTCTGTGTGTATGTATGTATAGGTGTATGTATGTATGTATGTGTGTGTGTTGGCATTTTTCTGAGAAAACGGCTCGATGGAATTTGATGAAATTTTGGAAATAGGTATAAGAAGACGTGTAGGGAAAAGTTACGCAGAGATATAGGAGAAAAAATAATTCCTCTCCAAGATATGACGTCATTGATCTTTTTTTTAAATGGGAATGCCATCTTTTTTTTCATTGATTGGTTAGAGCTCATTTTGCTTTATAAAAAAAAAAAAAAAAATTAAAAACACAATTAAAAAAAAAAAAAAAAAATTATTTAAAAAAAAAATCTCAATAGGACATTTTTGAATCGTGAAAAATTATCCGTAATTTTGAAGCTCTCGTGGTATTATGTGGTATTATCCCCGAAAAATGATATCAAAACGTGAAAAAATGTCTAGATTTATTAAAATGAATTCATGGTTTGAAATGACAATTAATGACAATGACAATCATTAATTAGGTAGTTATTTATCTAGGAAGCGTCATGTCAAAAATTTGGCATCTGTTTTTTTCGAATATCTCTCGAAGTTGTAATTATTTTAAAATTTCTTGGATGCATTTTGCTAATTATTAAATAGCGCAATTTTTTCCCATTTAACCATTGCCGTATCTGTGACCGTTTACGAAATCCCTATGATAGACATCCTTATCTTGGACACCGTGTATATGTCCCCCTCCCAAAAAAAACAGTGGTCCGGGGGGCGACGGCCAATGCCGCCCCGGGCGGTACTTCTCCTAGTTACGCCGCTGGGGAAGAGTGATGGAAAGGTATAATTTTATATGATTAAATTTGTCATCTCGGAAACAAGTAAAGTGGAATGATTGCAGAAGGGAAATATTGTTAACCAAATTGGACTTTTCCAAAATACCAACTTAAAAATGTATAAGTTTACTTGTTTAAATGGCTGTAATATAACTTAATATCTAAAAGTATCAAACTTAAAGTAAATTAGTTTGGTCCTATTTTTTTGTTTTTCTGTAGTCACAATTTCAAACCGATGGGTTGAATCTAATAGTTGCTTTTTGTTTTAGACTTCGAAGTTACTGGACTTACACCAAACCACGAATACAAATTTCGAGTAGCAGCAGTCAACGCTGAAGGCGAATCCAAACCACTTGAAGCAGAACAATCTATTATTGCTAAAAATCCATTTGATGAACCTGGTCCGCCAGGCCATCTTAAAGCAACTGACTGGGATAAGGATCATGTTGACTTAGCTTGGACACCGCCAAAGGATGACGGTGGTTCACCTATCACTGGCTATATTATCGAAAAAAAAGATAAATTTGGGGAATGGGAAAAAGCTCTTGAAGTTCCAGTTGATAAACTTAAGGCTACTGTTCCAGATCTTATTGAAGGACAGCCCTATCAGTTCCGAGTTCGTGCAGTTAATGCGGCTGGTCCTGGTGATCCCAGCAATGAAACTCCATCCATTATCGCCAAAGCACGTAATTTGGCTCCCAAGATTGACCGAACTAATCTTATTGAAGTAAAAATCCGTGCCGGACAAAGTTTTGCTTATGATGTTAAAGTATCCGGTGAACCAATGCCCACGACTAAGTGGTTAATGAAAGATAAGGAAGTAAAATCAGGACCAAATTGTAAAGTACAACATGGTGAATATAACACGAAGATATCACTTAAAAATGCAACTAGGGCAGACTCTGGTACCTACACTGTAACTGCAGAAAATTCCAATGGAAAAGATATTGCTGAGGTAGAAGTTATTGTTTTGGATGTGCCTAGCCCTCCAGGTGGACCCCTTAAGGTATCAGATGTACACGCAAACGGATGCAAGCTTCAGTGGCGACCACCAGCTGATGACGGCGGACAACCTGTAGATAGTTATGTCGTTGAAAAAATGGATGAAGCTAGCGGACGGTGGGTACCAGTTGGTGAGACTGACGGACCTCAAACTTCTCTAAATGTAGAGGGTCTTACGCCTGGCCATAAATATAAGTTTAGAGTTCGGGCTCAAAATCGGCAAGGCAAATCTGAACCGCTCACAACAGCTCAAGCAATCGAAGCTAAAAATCCATTTGATGAACCTGGCAAGACAAGCGCTCCGGAAATTGTTGACTACGATAAAGATTTTGTAGAACTCAAATGGAATAGACCAGAAAATGACGGTGGCTCTCCAATCACAGGCTACATTATTGAGAAACGAGACAAATTTAATCCCAACTGGGATAAATGCGCCGAAGTCGAAGGTGATGTCACAAAAGGAAGAGTTAATGACCTCATTGAAGGCACACCATATGAATTCCGCATCAGAGCAAAAAACAAAGCTGGCCCTGGAGAACCAAGTGATGCCTCCAAAATTCATGTCGCCAGACCCAAAAACCGTAAGTGATTATTTCTGATATTTAATTCTAATTACTAGGTTACTTATCGTGATCTTTTTTCTAGTTGCTCCCAAAATTGACAGAAATGCTTTCTCAGACCTTAAAGTTAAGGCTGGACAAACCATTGAGTTCATTGTTCCTGTAATTGGTGAACCTCCTCCAAGCAAGGAATGGAAGCATAAGGAAGACGTCCTATTTGGATCAGATCGCATTAAAATTGTGAATGAAGACTATAAAACACATATTAGAATAACTGAAGCACAACGATCTGATAGCGGCCCATACACGCTTACTGTTAAAAACATTAATGGTAGAGATACTGAAACTGTAAAAGTAACAGTTCTTGATGTACCAGCACCCCCAGAAGGCCCCCTTACAGCTGACAATGTTACCAAAAACTCATTGACACTCAACTGGAGACCTCCAAAGGATGATGGTGGTTCAGAAATATCTCACTACCAAGTGGAGAAGCTCGATACCGAAAACATGAGATGGGTACCTGTGGGAGAATCAGTCGGAACCTCTTTCCGAGTGCCAAACTTGACAGAAGGCCACGACTATAAATTCCGCGTTCATGCAGTAAACAAACAGGGTGATTCAGCACCGTTGACAACTACAGAAAGTATCACCGCCAAAGATCCCTTCACCAAACCAGACAGACCCGGTGCACCCAAACCCACGGACTGGGACAAAGATCATGTTGATCTTGAATGGACCCCACCGAGAAAAGACGGGGGTGCCCCCATTACAGAATATATTATTGAAAAAAGACCAAGACACGGGTGAGTGCATTCTGCAAATGTGAAGATTAGTTTATAGCTACATTTTTTTTTTTTTTTAATAAAAACAAATATCCGAATCTCATAGAACTGAATTGTTTCTTCTTTTACAGCACATGGGAAGAAGCTGCTAGGGTACCTGGAAAATCTACTGCAGGAACTGTACCAAATCTAACAGAAGGTGAAGAATATGAGTTTAGAATAATTGCCGTCAATAAAGGTGGTAATAGTGAACCCAGTGAAGCGTCCGTCCCTGTAATTGCGAAGCCAAGATTCCTTGCGCCTTCATTCAATAAAAGCTTACTTAATGACATTACTATCAGGGTTGGTCAACGATTTGGCTGGACTATTCCAATTGAAGCCTCTCCTAAGCCAACTGCTAAATGGACTGTCGATGGAAAGAAAATTGCAGTAGATGATAGAGTTGATAGTGCTGTTTATAACAACAAAATATCTTTCGATGTTACATCAGCATTGCGTACTGATTCTGGAAGATATACTCTTGAATTAAGCAACGATCTTGGTAGCTTCACAGCATCAGCCCAAGTTAAAGTATTAGATAAACCTGGGCCACCACAACCACCTCTTGACGTCGGTAGTGTTACAAAAGAAAGTGCTAGAATTTCGTGGAGAGCTCCTCTTGATGATGGTGGTTCACCAATCCTTCACTATATCGTGGAAAAAATGGATGTATCTCGAGGAACTTGGTCAGATGCCGGCATGGCGAATATAACTTCCCATGATATTACTAGACTTATCCATAAAAAAGAATACTTCTTCCGAGTGAAAGCAGTCAATGCTGTTGGTGAATCTGAACCACTCGAAACACCCAGAAGCATTATTGCTAAAAATGAATTTGGTATGTTATGCAGTTATTTAACTTTCACACTTATCTCTTTGTTTATTCAATTTTGAACAGACGAACCCAGTGCTCCAGGAAAACCAGCAGTTACAGACTGGGATAAAGATCATGTTGATCTTGAATGGAAACCTCCCAAAACCGATGGAGGTTCTCCTATAACAGGCTACATCGTTCAAAAGAAAGAGAAAGGTAGTCCGTACTGGACTAATGCCGTTCATGTCCCAGCTCGAAAAACTAGTTGTACTGTACCAGATCTAACTGAAGGGCAAGATTATGAGTTTAGAGTAATTGCAACCAACACAGCTGGCCAAAGTGAACCATCCGAACCTTCTGATATTGTTACTGCTAAAGCTAGATTTTGTGAGTAAAATTATCAGTTAATTACCTAAACCATTTTGTATCATAGAATTGGCTTGCTTGTTACAATTTTCATTCAGCGCCTACTGGTTTTTTTTTTGTCCGCTCGTGATCAGTTTCAATTCTGGGATGGAAATGTGACACTAAAATTCTCATTCTAACATAAACTTATACTTAGTACGAAAAACAAAAGGTTTTACCTAGATAATCGATGTTTGGATACATGAAATTATTCTTAGACGTTATCCTACTTGTACTGAGAGTGTATTCAGTATTGTACAGAAACAAACCAAAGCCTAATAAATGAAAAAACAAAGTAAACATTGAAACAACATTCACAAACTTGAGGCGAATGCTAATTTTAAATTAAATTGAGTAGGTAACGATTTAAATGAAATTTAAACCATCATTTTTGATAAGATAATAATAATTTTCTTGCTTAACATAATTTGATCAACAGAATTTTTTCTTACCATTTTAGTGGCTCCGAAAATCAAGACACCACTCAATGATATTCGTATCAAGGCTGGGCTTATATTGCATATCGACATTGACTTTATCGGCGAACCTTGTCCAGAAGTCACCTGGACCGTAGGTGGCAAACCTTTGGCTGCTGATGAACGCACCACCGTTACTTCAATAGGTTACCATACTGTCATTCATACTGTAAACGCTAAGCGTTTAGACAGTGGCTCGTATCATATTTTAATTAAAAATAATTCAGGTATTGACGAAGGTTCATTCCAAGTTACCGTTCTTGGTGAGTGTAAAGCTTTGAATAGAGACATGGAATTATTTTATAAAAAAAAATGTTTTAGATCGTCCTGGAGCTCCACAAGGACCATTAGAATATGAAGAAGTTACTGCTCAGAGCGTAACTTTATCTTGGAAACCACCCAAAGACAATGGCGGCAGTGAAATAACGTAAGCTTTAATCTATTTTCTCTACGTTTACATTATTTTTTAAATTTTGCAGAGGCTACGTTATTGAGAAGAGAGATTTGACTCATGGAGGAGGTTGGGTACCTGCTGTTAATTACGTAAACCCCAAATACAATCATGCTATCGTACCAAGATTATTGGAAGGAACCAAATATGAATTTAGAGTGTTTGCTGAGAATTTGCAGGGACGTTCAGATCCTCTTGACACAGAAAAACCTATAGTAGCCAAAAATCAATACGGTAAGAAAAATCAAGCTAATAAAAATATGGCGAAATCAAACATTTCTCGAATAACAATAAATTCCCTTTCTTTTAAACATCTCTAACTTGAAAGAAAAGATGAAAGCGCTGAAGACTTTTTTGCCTTGCATTTTTTTCTCTAAAACGCCGTTTTTGAGAAAATGCCACTTATTTTTATTTATATTTTTTAATGTCTGGATACGTTAAATCAAACCCACCAAATTTCAATCCCTTAAACTCTTTACAGAGTGGAGTTTAAATAAAACAAAGTATAGTCACTAGTCATCTATGAAATTCAGAATTTGTGACAGTTACAATAGATTCGTGAAACTTTTGTTTTGTCCGCCAGATATTTACAAGAAAAGTCTTGTGATCTTGAGTGGTATTTTTTAATATTAATGTATTTGCACTACAGATGTCCCTGGAAAACCTGGGAAGCCAGAACTTGTGGATAGCGATAAGGATCATATTACAATTAAATGGTCTGCTCCTATCAGTAATGGTGGATCACCTATTCTCGGCTATGATATTGAACGCCGTGACCGAGCTACTGGCAGATGGGTCAAATTGAATAAAGAACCAGCCAGAGGTCAAGAATATTATGACGACAGGGTCCAAGAAGGACATCAATACGAATATCGAGTTTCAGCAGTTAACGCGGCTGGTAACGGCAAACCCAGTGACACTTCTAATGTCTTTATTGCTAAACCAATGAAAGGTTAGTTTTCAATTATTTCTCAAATCTTCAATTATTTACCTATAACAAACACAAATTTATTTATTTTTAGAAAAACCAAAACTATGGCTTGATGGAATAATCGGCCGAAAGATTAAGGTACGAGCAGGCGAACCCATCAACATTGACATTCCTTTGACTGGAGCTCCAGCGCCTAAGATTGAATGGATCAAAAATAAACTGAAAGTACCTGAAAGTAGCAGAGTATATGTATGTTTTATATTCTCATTTATTGAATAAATTTATAATAATAGCCTCTATTTTAGACTGAAACCAACAGTGAGCATACACGTTTTCGGGTTGAGACATCGAACAGAGGTGATGCTGGAATTTACACTGTTAGGGCCAAGAACGAATTTGGTGCTGACGAAGCTGACATTGAGGTTATTGTAGTAGATAAACCGGGAATGCCCAAAGGTCCATTGCAATATACCGCAACCACACAAGACACCGTTTCCCTATCATGGAATCCACCTGACGATGATGGTGGTGGTGAAATCACTGGATATATTGTTGAAATTTCTGAATACGGAACCGATAGCTGGCGTCCATGCCCAGGTTTCTGTCCAAGACCATCTTTCACTGCTCGAGGTCTTACCGAAGGAAAGAAATACGTGTTTAGGGCTAGAGCTGAAAATATTTATGGAGTGTCAGAGCCTTTAGAAGGTAAGCCTGTTATTGCGAAGAGTCCATTTGACCCACCAGGAGCGCCAAGTCAACCAGAAATAACTGGATACACTCCAAACTCCTGCTCACTTAAATGGAATCCACCAGTATCAACCGGTGGCAAGCCCATCACTGGATATATCGTTGAAAAACGTGAACGTGGAGGTGATTGGGTGAAAGTTAATAATTATCCAACACCAAATGCTCAATACACAGTTCAAGATTTACGTGAAGGCAATAAATATGAATTCAGAGTAACGGCTGTAAATGAAGCTGGCCCCGGAGAGCCTAGTAGACCGACAGAACCAATTATTGCTCAGCATCAAAGATTTACACCGTCTGCCCCAGAACCACCAAAGGCTGATAGAATTACAAAAGATAGTGTAACTCTTTCTTGGAGACCACCCAAAAGCGATGGTGGCTCAAAAATCAAAGGATATATTCTGCAACAACGTCCAAAAGGCAGAGATGACTGGACTGACGTTAATTCGCTTCCAATCAATGACACGGTTTACACTGTTCCTAAGCTGAAGGAGGGTGAAGAATACCAGTTTAGAGTTATTGCTGAAAATGATGTTGGCAGATCTGATCCAAGCAGGCCTAGCAATCCAATATTGATTGAAGAGCAGGCTAACAAACCATGTATGGATTTGGGTGGCGTTCGTGATATAACAGTACGCGCTGGAGAAGACTTCAGCATTCACGTTCCGTATGTTGGGTTCCCCAAGCCAACCGCCTCATGGTTCGCCAATGATAAAGTTCTGGACGAATCTGACAATCGCGTTTTCCCACAACTGGCTGACGACTACGCTAGTATTATTGTCAAGAATTCTAAACGTTCCGACACTGGTCAATACCGTCTACAACTAAAGAATCCATCTGGTTTTGATACTGCTACGATTAACGTTAAAGTACTTGATAGACCTGGCAAACCAGAAAATCTTAGAGCTGATGAATTTGCAGGCGACGCGCTTACACTATATTGGCAACCACCAAAAGATAACGGAGGAGCTGATGTTACCAACTACATCATTGAAAAGAAAGAAGCCAAATCATCCGCCTGGACCAAGGTCAGTAGTTATGTCACTGTTCCATTTGTAAGGATTCGGAATTTGACGCTTGGCAAAGAATACGACTTCAGAGTTATCGCTGAAAACCAATATGGTCAATCAGAACCAGCAGTAACATCCGAACCCATTCGAGCCAGACATCCATTTGATCCTCCAGGAGCTCCTGGTTCTCCCAGGGGGATTGAGACTACCGAGGATTCTATTACCCTTCAGTGGTCCAAGCCTCGTCATGATGGTGGATCTCCAATCACAGGCTATGTTGTTGAAAAACGACTTATTACCGAAGATAAATGGACCAAAGCTTCTCACGCTTTGGTTCCAGACCTCAACCTCAAAGTAATCAACCTTATTGAAAATCATGAATATGAATTTAGAGTGGCCGCTGTAAACGCTGCTGGGCAGGGACCATGGAGTTCCGCGTCTGATGCTATTTGTGCAAGAGCAGCACCATCTGCGCCTAAAATTACATCAGATTTGAGCATCCGCGATATTGTTGTTATTGCTGGGGAAGAACTAAAGATTACTGTGCCGTACGTAGCAACACCTAAGCCTAAAGCTACTTGGACTATAAACGGCGATGAAGTTTCCGCTGACAATAGAGTTAAACTAGAAACCAATGATATCGCATCTGTATTCTATAACAAATCCGCTAAACGTTCAGATACTGGAAGTTATACTATCAAACTTACCAACTCAATGGGATCAGACTCTGCTTCTTGTAGAGTACTCGTTGTCGACAGGCCTCAGCCACCTCAAGGTCCTCTCGATATTTCTGATGTTACTCCAGATAATTGCTCACTTGCATGGAGGCCCCCATTGGATGATGGTGGTTCTCCTGTAACAAATTACATTGTTGAAAAATTAGATACGAATGGCATTTGGGTGAAAGTGAGTAGTTTTGTGCGCAACACTCATTACGACGTTATGAGCCTTGAACCTAACAAAAAATATAGCTTTAGAATCAGAGCCGAAAATCAATATGGTATAAGCGAACCTCTTGAAAGTGCCGAACCAGTAGTTGCTAAATATCCATTTACAATTCCTGAACCCCCAGGTCCACCGCGTGTCGTTGACTGGGATAGTAACACCATCAATTTGGCATGGGACAAGCCAGCTCACGACGGCGGTTCCCGAATCCAAGGTTACAAACTGGAATTCCGTGATGTACGCGATACTAACTGGGTTAGCGCTAGTGATTACCTCATTAAAGATACTCATTTTGACCTCTATAACATGATAACTGGACAAGAATATGAATTTAGAGTACGTGCTAAGAATGCAGCAGGCTTCAGCAAACCGTCAGCATCTTCATCTCGATTCAAGCTGAAGGGCAAATTTAATATACCATCTTCTCCACGCAATCCTAAAGTGACAAATGTTGGCAAAGGTTATGTTGATCTAACCTGGGAACCACCAAGCTCGGATGGAGGATCAAAGATCACCGGTTATCTTATTGAAAAGAGAGAAATTGGAAGCCCAATATGGAACAAATGCAACGATTATAATGTTAGTGATATTAACTTCACTGTTATGAATCTGCAAGATAGATCTGAGTACGAATTCAGAATATCTGCAATTAATGCAGCTGGAAAGAGCGAACCTAGCAGCTGCACAGCGCCAGTTAAAGTCTGTGAAGTTCTTGGAGGAGAAAAACCCGAATGGTTGAGAAGACTACAAAATACATCAGCACCACTTGGAAAGTCAGTCAGTTTGGAATGTGAAGCCTCCGGAAAGCCAGAGCCAAGATTCCGCTGGTTAAGAAATGGACGCGAAATCCAAGGTGGAGGGCGATTTAGATATGAAACTAAAGCAGGTACGTCCTGGTTGCATATATCCGATCTATTGGACGTTGATGATGGAGAATATACCTGCGAGGCTAGCAACTCTCTTGGGACTATAACCACAACGGCACGCCTTAAGATTGGAAGTAAGTATGCCATATCAGTTGATTTAGTGTTACAACTTTCCAATAACAAGTCAGGAAAAAGAGCTGCTTTCTATTTATTCACAGCAATACCAAAAAAAATTTTAGGTACCTATTCCAAGTATTCTGTTCTATTAAATTAAACAATAAATTGCTTGAGCTAAACGTTTATATAAACTACGAGTTAATTAATTAATTTATGTTTTTCTTTCAAGATGACCACAATAATTATTTATTATAAAATACAGGGTGTATCAGGTTTGACTACAAAAATTTTAACACGTGAAAATATGTTCCATTTTGAACAAAAAAAGTTTATTTAACATGGGATCCATCATTGAGAAAAAGGCCTTTGAAGTTTTGACATTTTTTGACGAATCTTTGAAAGATAAGAAAACTGTAATCATTATGAGATCTACAAAAATTAATTTCATCCAATATTATGTAATTATGCAATTTAAGTCGAAAACAATAATTAAAAATTAAAAAAATAACATGACAATATTACTTGTAGTTCGGTTTCTAAACATCCGGCAACATAACACAAGAAAGGATAGGTGCTTCAGTTGAACCGATAATTAATTCATGATTTGTCAGTTACTCGAAATATCAAAAACGCGCGCATTATTTTTTGAAAATAAAATGTTTACAAACGTCGAATATGCAGATATGTTACTTGTTTACGGCGAATCATTACAGAATGCTCATTCAACCGCCAGAATTTACAGGCAAAGATTTTTCTAATAGGACGGCGACCAATGAAAGAACATTTGTGTCCTTTTTGCAGAGATTGCGTGATACGGGAAGGGTAAGTGTGCAAAATGTTAATCGGGGACCTGCAAGACAAATGAAACCTGCCGATAAAGAACAGATTTTAGCGATAGCCCTGGAATCAGCATTCGATCCATTGCCCGATCAGTTGATATTCCCACTCAACAGTTAATCGGACCCTTTGACAACATTTTTTTTACCAGTATCATGTACAGCCATTGTCTCCTGGAGATTTTTCAGAGAGAGTTTATTTTTTTGAATGGTTTCTCCAAGAAATCCAAAGACGTCTGAATTTTGTACACTCTGTACTATCTATCTGGCCCCGGAGAATAAATATCTGTACATAAAATATTGTCACATTGTTAACATGTTCCTAAATTCAAATTCTGCGAGTACCCCGAAAATACTAAGAATTGACCCATGGTTAAATAGGACAGTTTTAGCTTGAAATGGGCCATATTTTCATGTGTTAAAATTTTATCTATTTTAAGAGCAATAAATCCGCCTATTAGTTAGTTCTGTAACTTACTTTCGTCGACAATTATACGAAGTTCACTTTCTGAGCTGTATTAATTGCTGTGAATGAGATGTAAACGTGGTTAAATACATGATATGAATTTATTACATGCACAGCGGGTTATTGGTTATAAATGTCACCCCTCTACCTTTTTTATTTGAAATTTCAGAAAGAAGTGTCCCAAATATAAGTTTTATGGTTGAATTGATTTATTTTTAACAGACTTTCGCATAAACATACGGTGTTTCAGAAAAGCTGGTCGTGGTCCAACGCTCTTATTTCTAATGGAATACCCTGTATATTATTAAATATTCAGATTCTACGTAAAATTCTGAGCAGATTTTATGTGATATACCCTATACGTAAGTTCAACTGTTTTGGAATATTGACAGTTGAAAATTGACTTTTTTACAATTGTGACAGGTTTTAAAACCTACACGGTTATTGATTAATTCTAGATCAAAACCGATCTTACATTCTTGTCTTAGATTTTCATAAACTATCAATTGACGCCAACTTTGAATTTAATCCATGATTGAAATTTTTTTTTAAAATTTAATTTCCGGTTAAATTCAAATTTGGTATCAAATGATAGCTTATTGAAAGCTAAAGATGAGAATGTAAAATCAGTTTGGCTGTAAAATTAATCGTTTAGGTCAAAGATGCAAAAAAGTCAATTTTCAACTGTCAATATTAATATTTCCAAAACAGTTGAACTTAGGTATAGGGTACCTATATCAGATGAAATCTGTTCAGAATTTTACGTAGGATCCGAATATTCAATAATATACGTACAGGGCATTCCATTAAAAATAACAAAGTTGGACCACGGCCAGCTTTTCTGAAACAGCCTGTATATGCAAAAGTGTGTTAAAAAATAAAATAATTTTTTACTTTTATTTGAAACACTTCTTTCTAAAATGTCAAACAAAAAAGGTTTTCCGAAGTGCCTTGGCTTGGAAATAAGTCACTAGTTCTTGTAGAAAACCGAAGGAAGTACGAAAAAAATAGATTACAAGGATTTATCATAAAGTATACCTATCGACTAAATTGTCATTTTTGCTGTTGATTTTTTCTAACATAAAGTACCTACTTTTTCGAAGCAGTAGACTGGTATTTGTTTTTTTTTCGAAACCTGTTCTGGTTTCATATGAAGATGATTCATTTATATAAAAGGCTTGATATGAAATTTTCTTTTAGATCCGCCACGAATCGATAGGCTACCAGGAGATTTATACCTTACTGAAGGTGACAATACTAAAATCAAGATTTATTACTCTGGAGATCAGCCTTTAGATGTAACCCTTTCTAAGAATGGGCAGAAGATTGATGACGACTCACATGTCAGATTTACCGTTTTTGATGACTATATTATAATCTTTATAAGAGATATCAAGAAAACTGATGCCGGTAACTATACTGTTACCGTAAAGAATGACAGTGGAAGCGCCTCAGGTAGTTTCGCAGCTTATATCACTGGATTACCAGGACCACCAAATGGACCATTAGAAACTACCGATATTACGAAACATACTTGTACATTATCTTGGAAACCTCCAAGTTATGATGGAGGCCTTCGAGTTACTCATTATGTAGTAGAAAGAAAAGATATAACTGGCACTCACTGGATAACTGTATCTAGTTCCTGTAGAGATACTCATTTCACTGTTCAAGGACTAACAGAAGGTCAAGAATATTTATTCCGTGTATTGGCTGTTAATGATAATGGGATGGGACCACCACTAGCAGGAGTTAATCCTGTTAGAGCCAAAGCACCATTTGATCCACCAGGACCACCTGGTATCCCAGTTGTTACTCAAGTTGGTGGAGACTTTGCCAACTTAGAATGGACCAAACCAGAACATGATGGCGGCGCTCGCGTACAAGGATACTGGATAGATAAACGTGAAGTTGGGCAACTAGCTTGGCAACGTGTCAACCTATCCCTTTGTTTACCAACCCAAATTAACATTTCAAATCTAATTGAAGGCAGACAGTATGAATTTAGAGTTTTTGCTCAAAATATTGCAGGAATTTCAGAACCATCATCTGCTTCTTCATCTGTTGTTATCAAAGATCCTCTAGCACCGACACCACCTGAAATTATCAAACCTCTTAAAAATGCACAGTGCATACAGAATCACAACGCTAAATTTGAATGTACTATTATTGGTGTACCATCTCCGAACATCACATGGTATAAAGGAGCCAGAGAAATCACTAACGGCTCGCGATACCATATCTACAGTGAGGGTGAAGTCCACCACTTGGTCATCCATGATGTATTTGGAGAAGATGCCGATGAATATGTTTGCAGAGCTTCGAACAAAGCTGGTGTGAAATCAACAAGAGCTGAACTGTTGATAATGAGTAAGTTATAATTCTATTTTACCTATTTTAGTACATACCAAGACACTGAAGTGGCTCATGCAAAATTATAAATGTCTTCACTTCTTCTTTTATGAGTTAGAAGCATTGAACTAAACAAACACACTGGAACGGGCGTACTGCTTTATGGTAGTGAGGCAAATTTTGATGTATGGAACCCTGCAATATGGAGGGATTTTTGTCTCGCTTGCACTCATTGCGGTTAATGTAAAAGAAGAGCTTCTTCTTCTTCTTCCTAACCTCAATGATCCAAACACTTCAAACAGCTGTTCTCTATCATTAGCCGCCATAGTGCAGAGAGAGAGTTCCATTCCCTCTTGTTTGTTTTCCTTCCTGGCACAAACCCTTGCGTAGAAACAATTATGCAGCCGCCATTCCAGTGTGTTTCTCTAGTTCATTGGTAAGAAGGCAATTTATTTCTGGAATTTATCAATTTTTTTTACTACGTACCAATTATTTGCTGAACTTAATAATTACCTACTATCTAATTTATTTATTTTATTTAAAGGGCCGGTTTATTCACCTTCTCTAAAAACGCAATCTATAATCCCATTGGTCGGCCAATCAACCGCTAGAATTATAGAACGGTAAATTCATCTTAGAGATAGTTACCAGCAAGTTTATCTGAAGATGAATAAACCGGGCCTTAAGAGTTTGAACCATCACTTTCTATCCTGTTGGTAATGACAACGTGAATAAATGCAATGTTAACATTAAATTTATTGTTCGAAGTGGAAAAAAATAAAAAAATAATTTATAGCACTACATATCTACTATTTCTCTTTCAGCTGCTCCTAAATTGAACATTCCACCAAGATTCCGTGATAGTGCATACTTTGACAAGGGTGAAAATGTCATTGTTAAGATTCCATTTACTGGATTCCCCAGACCAAAGATTACTTGGGTCAGAGAAGGCGAAGTAATCGAATCTGGTGGTCATTATCACGTGGAAGTGAAAGATAGGCATGCTATTCTAACCATTCGTGACGCCAGTAAATTAGATAGTGGACCATATAGAATAACAGCTGAAAATGAGCTTGGCCAAGATACTGCGATTATTAAGATTCAAATAGCTGATCGTCCAGATCCGCCAAGATTCCCTGCAATTGACAACATTGGTACTGACTCATTAGCGTTAACATGGAAAGCCCCTGTTTGGGACGGCGGCAGCAATATTACTAACTACATGGTAGAGAGAAGAGAACATCCACTTTCCACATGGATAAGAGTAGGAAATACTCGCCTTACAACAATGGCTGTTAGCGGTTTAACTCCTGGGCATCAGTATGACTTTAGAATTTACGCTGAGAACATTTATGGTAGATCCGATGCATCTGAAGTCAGCTCCTTGGTAACAATGAAGGACACAATTAAAAAGAAGATTGAAAAGAAGAAATACGAAGTTGACGAAAGTGGCAAAAAGATTCGCGAATCTCATAAGGAGCCAATCAAAGATTATGATAATTATGTATTTGATATTTATTCTAAATTTGTGCCCCAACCTGTTGAAATCAAAACTAAAAGCGTTTACGATGATTATGACATTTTGGAAGAAATTGGAACTGGAGCTTTCGGTGTGGTACATCGTTGCCGTGAGAGAAAGACTGGAAATATATTTGCTGCTAAATTTATTCCGGTATCTCATGCTATGGAAAAAGAGCTTATTCGTAAGGAAATTGATATCATGAATCAACTGCATCATCCTAAACTCATTAATCTTCACGATGCATTTGAAGATGATGATGAAATGGTATTGATCTACGAATTCTTATCTGGAGGAGAATTGTTTGAGCGGATCACAGCCGAAGGATATAGCATGTCCGAGGCTGAAGTTATTAACTATATGAGACAAATCTGCGAAGGCATTAAGCACATGCATGAAAAGAACATTATTCATCTTGATATCAAACCCGAAAACATCATGTGTCAAACACGCAAGGGTACCAATATTAAACTTATCGATTTTGGTTTAGCCACTAAATTAGATCCAAATGAAGTTGTTAAAATATCCACTGGTACTGCAGAATTTGCTGCTCCCGAAATTGTAGAGCGCGAACCAGTTGGTTTCTACACAGATATGTGGGCGGTTGGTGTATTGGCATACGTATTGCTCAGTGGGTTATCACCATTTGCTGGAGAAAACGATATTGAAACTTTGAAGAATGTTAAGGCCTGCGACTGGGACTTCGACGAAGAAGCTTTCACTAATGTGTCGGAGGAAGGAAAGGACTTTATAAGACGATTGTTATTAAAGAACAAAGAGTAAGTTGATTAATTTCTTAGCAGAACTGAATCTAAATATTTGTTTTTTGTAGAAAACGTTTAACTGCACAGGAATGTTTGTTACATGCCTGGCTCGCTGGAGATCATAGCGATAGAACGAAGACAATCGATCAATCCAAATATCTGCACATGCGTGACTGGATCCGTGCCAAATATGACGCCTGGGATTCATTTGGTTTGCCAATTGGTCGTCTTTCAGAATATTCTTCATTGCGCAAATTACTTATTGACAAATATAAGATCCATGACACTTACTTCGGTAAAATATTTCCTGATTTTTTGAAAATTAATAAACATAAAAATCAATGTGTATTTTAGATCGCAGACAAGCCGCTCCACGATTTGTTATTAAACCACAAAGCGCTTTCTGTTATGAAGGACAAAGTGTCAAATTCTACTGCAGAGTTATTGGCGTTGCTGCACCAACTGTTAGTTGGTACCATAACAATGTTGAACTTAGACAGAGCGTTAAATTCATGAAGAGATACTCCGGTGATGATTATTACTTCATTATCAATAGAGCTAGGTTACAAGATCGTGGTGAATTTATTATAAGAGCAGAAAATCATTATGGATCTAGAGAAGAAGTTGTATTCCTTAACGTTAAACGTAAGTTCTTTAGAATTGATATCAACTGGCGTTGCATTAGTTGTTTCATCTTACAAATCTCTCTTAGTTTTATCCTACATCAACTGTTTATTTTTAGCTGTACCTAAAGTTGTTCCGGAATACAAACCAGAAGCACCACTTATTCGAAGACGTGAGCCTCTACCATATACATTTTGGCAAGAGGAACAAGAATGTGCTCCTAGTTTCACATTCTTACTTAGACCTCGTGTTATGCAAGAACGAGATACTTGCAAGCTATTGTGTTGTCTTAGTGGTAAACCGTTCCCCACTGTGAAATGGTACAAGGATAAAGTGGAACTTAGCAAATACGACTATTCTATGTCACATTCTGATGGTGTCATAACTATGGAAATTCAAGGTTGCAGGCCTTCAGATTCTGGGAAATATACTTGCGTTGCCACTAATCCCCATGGACAAGATGAAACATCTTGTGTGGTAATTGTCGAGGGAGTAACAAGTACTGAAGAACAAACGAAAATGGCTGAAAGAATATTGCATTCTGGCGATAGAAAATATATTGAACATCCCATTAAACCTGCACCCATTCCAGTTACCATTAAAAAACAAGTAACACAGCCCACTCCGATTCAACCCCGTTCAGCCAATGCAAGTACCAACAGTCTTGCACATTCCTCTTCAACACTAAGCGTGGGTGATGGAGATAAAAGAACATCAAGGAAATATGGTAGATTAGATTCCACAGGGAGCCCCAACAGGTCACGAAGTGCTACCAAAGAACTTGCACGTAAGTTTACTTTTCACATTTATTAGGCTTGTATTTTAAAGAAAAATTAATTATTTGATGATAAAGGATGTATAGGCAAAAATATATTAAGAAATAAAGTATTGACATTTCCATTCTAGTTCCTCCAGATTCATCAATGGGCCCACCCAAATTCACTAAAGGACTGAAAGATGTATCAGTAAACGATGGTGATAGTTTAACTTTAACCGCACATGTACAAGGAGATCCAGAACCTCAAGTTGTATGGACTAAAGATAATAAACCTCTAAGCTCGTCAGAAGTAATTGATCTCAAATACAAAAATGGCATTGCAAAATTACACATCAACGAAGTATACCCAGAAGACGGAGGGAACTATGTATGTAAGGCAACCAATTCAATGGGAACAGCTGAAACTACTTGCAAGCTTAGTATTAAACGTAAGTATTATAGAGGCACTAACCGTATGCTAATGAATAGGAGCTGCAATCTAAGTGAAGGGTGGTCCATCATAATTTGCAGCCGTAGTTACAGGTAAATAGAAGATTAGTAGCGTTCCACCTGAACCGCCAGATTCTTGATTAGATCGAACAAATGACAAATTTCGTCAGAAGTTGTGTATTTTTGGATTTAACGAAAAATTCAATGCCTATTTTTTCATGTATGATGTCGTATACGTTAATTCAACTGTTGATATTGAGAGTTGAAACTTGATAATTTTGCAAGTTTGACAGACTGTAAAATCTAAACGGTTAATTTGAGAGGAAACCCGATTTTACATTCTTGTCTTGGTTCTTCTATCATTTGACACCAACTTTGAATTAAATTTATGATTAAAAATTTACCAGTAATTACGGCTGCAGGTAGGGAATCAATCTATGAAGGACGCATCTATAGAGTCTGTTCCTTACCTATAATTAATGTGGCTTCTACAACTTAAAATAGTCGAAAGCGCAGTAGGTATCGAAAATGTTTTTTCGATCTTTAGTCCTTCTTATTACATTGAAATTTTTCACATGGTTCTTCAATAAATGATAACAAGATACAATAAAATTTAAATATTTTCCAGCAACGGCAAACCAAACTAATGGAAAAAAGAAAACTGAAGACAAGCCACCAACAATAGTGAGCCATCTAGAATCAGCATTTGTAAAAGATGGAGAACCGGTAACGATTTCTTGCCGTATAATTGGAGCTGATAAATTTGATGTTATTTGGCTACATAATAACAAGGAAATTAAGCCAAGTGAAGACTTCCAATACGTGAACGAAGCCCATATTTACAAACTTATAATCGCTGAAATCTTCCCCGAAGATGCAGGAGTATATACTTGTGAAGCATTCAATGACGCAGGGGAGAGCTTCAGTAGTTGTACATTAAACGTGGCAGTTCCCGGCGAACAACTTAAGAGTCCTGTGTTCAAAACATTCCCGATTTCCGCGACAGTTTCAGAAAGTGAAGTTGCCACCTTTGTTGCTGAAACTGAAGACGAACCTCTGCAAATAAGCTGGCTGAAAGACGGCAAACAAATTAAAGAGAGCAGCGCTAAATATAAATTCACCGCTGATGGAAAACGATATACTTTACAAATAGTATCCTGCGATACGAACGATATAGGCCAATACCAGGCAAAGGCCATTGGTAAAAAGGGAGAAACGTTTGCGGCGTTCTCACTTAACGTTGTTCCACCTGGTCAGCTATGAGCTCTGACTAAATTGCTAGCAAATTAACGAACGACTTGCTCCATTGATCATGTACATTGTATAAAAAATTATTTGTAACAGATTTTGTATAAAACAGTACCTACCAAATAAAAAAATGTCTTTCGTAAAATCATTTCTTGGGACGAATTTGGCATCCTCAATTTTTACCATCACCGCAAAGGCGCCACAAGAAATGTCTTGCGTTATACATTTTATTCGACTCGAGCCCCAAACGTACTTTCCGTCGTTTCCGAATCGAGATACAAAACTTACCGATTATTTTTATTTAAAATTTTAAAATGAATGGAAAAAGATTATTTATTTTAGTGTGAGAATGCTTGAGCCATCTTTTCATTGAAGACATCATTGTCCACTATTTAAGTTTCATACATATGCATTATTGCTTAAGCAAAGCCGAACCAAACACTGTATCATATAATGTAAAAAATAAATCTATAATTTTTAATTTTTCTTTGTTTCATTTGCCATCTCAGCTCACCAGTGCAAAACTCAGTGCGCTTCAAGATGTTTCCGGTGCTGTCATAAACACAAATTAGTGCCTAGTATGGAACAGTTTAAATGGATATCGAGAATGCAATGATTCTGAAAATTACTTTATTAAAAATGGACATTATTTTTAAAAAACGATCTACTAATTCACATTAGAGATAGGCATTTGTATTTGTCTAAATCTGCTCCAAGCACATGTGGACCACATTTTGCCCTCGCAATTCTTTTATCAGTCTTATTTTACTTTTTTTCCTCTATGAAATGATTTTCGTAGGGTACTTAAGTCATCCAATATAAGCTACTGAAATATTTATACAGAATATGTGGGCAATCTCTCGGATTTAGATAGAACACAAAAAAATAACATGACAACTTCCTATAAAAAAAAATTCCTAGGGCCCCCCATACGAAGTTACGTGCCCCTAAAGGACGCCTCTGAAAATAACTTTCAAAATACTTCGTGTAATTTTTTTTCTTTTAATATGACTGATACTTGATAACCCCAAAAATGGATCCTTTCAAACACACCTGACCAATCTAGTTTGCCAGGGACGGACTAGCTTGAACACAATAATGACACTGAGGAAATATTAGTAAAAAGTGTTAATTTTCACTGTCGCTAAATAAGGGCTAATATTGAAGCATTGTCGAGGGTCGAACAATCTTTCATTGAAATAGGTATGGAATGCATAAGATTAGAAAGAGCTCATGTTGAGCCGACATACAAAATTATTTAATAAAAAATCATACATAAACAAAAACAGATTTTTTTCGAAACCAGCTCATTTTTTCGACATCGAATAAGGGTACCTTTTTTCTAGTTCAAGGTTCAAACTATCTAAACATATTTTTGCTGTGCCTTTATCATACAGGGTGTAAAAAAAAAGAGCATTATTATGTTAAAGCTAGTCCGTCCCTGGCAAACTAGATTGGCCAAGTGTGTTTGAAAGGGTCCATTTCAAGGGGCCTTATCTAGTATCCATCATATTAAAAGAAAAAAAATTACACGAAGTATTTTGAAAGTTATCAACAAAAAAACGATTTTCAGAGGCACGTAACTTCGTAGGGGGAGCCGTAGGATTTTTTTTTATAGGAAGTAGTCATAATGTTATTTTTTTGTATTCTATCTGAATCCGAGAGATTGCCCACATATTCTGGGACACCCTATATACTGTTGAAGACATAGTCCCATTTCTGTTTTGTTTTGGTTGATCTTTTGGATCTTTCCCTTTTTATTCGGATAACATCTAAAGCCGGGCTCAGACGACTCGTCTACTTGGCGAATACACAATTATTCGCGTACTTGGCAAGTATACGAGCTTTGCGAATTGCGATGGCAAGCAGGGCGCTCACACGACGTGTTCAATTCACAAGTACGCCAGCGCGAACATTTGGCTAAACCTTGATGCTCGTCGAAAACTAAATGAAATAGTCGCAGGAAAAGCCAATTATTTGTGCATTTCGTTTGAGCGCCTCTACAAGTATAGACAAGTATGAACTTGGCAAGTGTACGAATAATCGTGATCCCTTTGACTCGGGACATTTTTACCGACAAGAAATGGAAAACCAACGAGTGACAAATAATTGTACAAGTAACCCACTCACACGACATGGCAAGTATACTCAAGTAACGATTAAGCCGGGCTCAAACGACTCGTGTACTTGGCGAATAATCGTTACTTGCGTATACTTGCCATGTCGTGTGAGTGGGTTACTTGTACAATTATTTGTCACTCGTTGGTTTTCCATTTCTTGTCGGTAAAAATGTCCCGAGTCAAAGGGATCACGATTATTCGTACACTTGCCAAGTTCATACTTGTAGAGGCGCTCAAACGAAATGCACAAATAATTGGCTTTCACTGCGACTATTTTATTTAGTTTTCGACGAGCATCAAGGTTTAGCCAAATGTTGGCGCTGGCGTACTTGTAAATTGAACACGTCGTGTGAGCGCCCTGCTTGCCATCGCAATTCGCAAAGCTCGTATACTTGCCAAGTACGCGAATAATTGTGTATTCGCCAAGTACACGAGTCGTCTGAGCCCGGCTTAAAAGTTGCTCATATGAATTTTATATTTTACGTGGGTAAATAATGCATATTGGCTGACGGCACAACCGTCCCCATCTAACCATTCCATACCTATATGTATTTGTCACCTAGGACATTTCTATTGGTTCGGTGCGCAATGCGGTCGAATTTCAACCACTAAATGGCTAGGTGCCAAACACATATATGAAATTTAATGTAGTGCCAAATTCGTATACGGAATTTTGCACATTCATAGGACTGAAGATTTCGAGTTTCATAAGTGGGAAAAACAAAAACATATTAATAGGTATATAGGTAGTCAAAAATCTATTCCGAAAGGCTCCGTTAAGCTGCCCCCCCCCCACATTGATTTTTTTCTTCAAAACGCTAGCACACGATCGTTAGAGCTAGCACAACCTAGCACAAGCTGTTGTAGAGCTAGCACAGTCATAGTAACAAAAATATATCCTAGTTAGTGCGGGAGGGGCCAGGTTAACGCTAGCCCCCCCCGCATTGTTTCAAGGCGCCATAAAGCTAGCACAGCTTCTTTAGAGCTAACGCAGGCTAGCACAATAAAAAAGAATGCTAGCACAACTATTCGTTTTAAAATAATAAGGCACAAATGCGGGGGGGGGCCAAGTTAACGTTTGGGATTTTTTGGGAGTTGGCCATGAAAACTGTTATGGAAACTTGGTAAATAGCTAGCACAACCTAGCACAACGATTTTCAGATCAATCAGAATTTTGGAACCGAAGTTAGTCCCTAATTTATGCAGGGGTGGGGAAAGTTAACACTATTCCCTTCCTTGCCCGTTTTTAAGTCGCTTTAATGCTGGCACAGCTTCATTTGCGTTATCACAGCCTAGTACAACAAAAAAGAATGCTGGTACAAGTAGGTATACTTTCATGATAATTAGACCATAATTGAGGGCGTGGCGGTTTTCAACCTTTGGGGATCTTTTAGGGATTTGTCATGAGAACGGTTATAGAACAGTGGTTAGTAGCCAGCGCAACGTTATAGCCTTGCACGTTCATTTTTCAATCAACCCAGAATTTAAATATAGAAATTATCCCCTAATTTATGCAGGGGTCGGGATAGGCCTCTATCGCTTTACCATTTCTCGTCCGTTTTTAAGTTGCTTTATTTACTTTTTAATCAATCATTTACATACCTATAGTATTTTCAAAGTCAATTGGAACAAGGTTACAACTGGTGGCTGACTGATCACTGATAATGTTCATAAGAAATGCACTGCCACTAGTCTGCCACCAGTTATACGATTTACTTTTACCTTGTTCAAATTGTCTTTGGAAATACGTCCCAATAGAAAGTGACCAATTTTAAATGCTTATAACTTATTTATGCATATAAGCCCTTGAAACCGGTCAGTTTCTATTGGGACACCCTGTACTATACCTACCTACTTTTTATTTGAAGAAATAATGGGAAGTTATTTTTGTTTTTTAATTGAAAATGTACGTTTAGTTTTTTTTGGTGGCAATTAAATTATTAACATTGAAAATGTTTATATTATCGCACGGGCACATAGTATGGGGTACGAAATTCGAAATTCTTGTGTTGCATTTGTCCCATAGGTACGCCACAGAGACGGGGAAGGGATACGAAACGCCGCTGCTCGCAAGCAAGATTGAGCGGTGTTGCCGGATGATTTTTTTCAAAATTTTAAATGGTATGCATGCCATATTAGGCAATGGTTAGTGAAAAGAAGAAGTAGGTAATAGTATATTATGCCATCAACGGTACGAACTGCCCCGAACGGTTCTAATTGCTCCGAACAATTCAAAACTGCTCCGAATAATTCAGAATTGCTCGGAACAGTTCCAACTGCTCCAAACAGTTCAAACTCTCCTAAACAGTTCGAGCTGCTCCGGGCAGTTCAAACTGCTCCGTACAGTACAAACTGCTCCGAACAGTTAAACAATTCGAACTGCTCGGAACATTTCGAACTGCTCCGAAAAGAGAGACGTTTCCCCACCCCTGCATAAATTAGGGAATAACTTCGGTTCCAAAACTCTGATTGATCTGAAAATGGTTGTGCTAGGTTGTGCTAGCTATTTACCAAGCTTCCATAACAGTTTTCATGGCCAACTCCCAAAAAATCCCAAACGTTAACTTGCCCCCCCCCCCGCATTTGTGCCTTATTATTTTAAAACGAATAGTTGTGCTAGCATTTTTTTTTATTGCGCTAGCCTGTGCTAGCTCCAAAGAAGCTGGGCTAGCTTTATGGCGCCTTGAAACAATGCGGGGGGGGCTAGCGTTAACCTGCCCCCCCCCCCCCCGCACTAACTAGGATATATTTTTGTTACTATGACTGTGCTAGCTCTACAACAGCTTGTGCTAGGTTGTGCTAGCTCTAACGATCGTGTGCTAGCGTAAATTAAAAGAGAAATTCAATTATAAAAATAATTAGTGCACTAATGTCCTTCTCCGGTAAGTAAAAGTAGGCCTAACCGCAATTCGATAGTTTTATGGCTGAGATTTCATGGATAACTTCACACTAACGTCCTAGTAGTACAGCGGATTAGCTAACCTATTGTGCGCTTTTTGATAAAGGCACCAAATTTGGCACAGAGGTAGACCGATGTAATATGTTTGAATTTGGATGTGGAGCCATCGGCCAACTGCCCCCCGACGGCCATGGCGGCGATTTTCCAAAATGGCTGCCAGTGGACACCACGAAAGATAACAGAAGTTGGATAAAGTTTGCTGCTGAAGGTGTTAGTGAATTTTTATTGAATGTTTTGAATGAAAACATGCCAGATAGTTGGTAGGTTATATTATATACATGTATGTATATACAGGGTGTATATTCTAAGTGATACTAGCATGCTAATTTATATATCCGAAATGGTGAGAGCTACAAGGTCGAGTAAATTAGAAAAAAGTTCCTTTTTTTGATGCCCATTCAAGACTCGTTCA